TGCTTGTGTTATACATTTTAATTTAATTTTGCAAACCTAATCTTCTTTGTAAGTCTTCTTACGTCCGACCTCAATCATAAACTATAATTTTTTAATTACTAAAGTAAATTTAAATGATAAAAATATTAAAATTTTAAGTAAAAGTGTAATTTTATCGTATTTGATATCGAAAAATGAGAAATTTTGTTACTGTAAAATGTAATTCATTATACATTCCGTTAAATTATTTTACTATGATAAACAAATATTTTTTATAAATGATACTTTATCATACATTTAATTAACAAAATACTTGAATTCAATGATATTCTTATGCAAGGAATCCAAAGAAAGTAATTGATTATCTATCAAAACTTGATATCAAATAGACCGAATCATTGCACTGTTTCTTAAAATATCATCGAATATAAGTGGAAGAGTTAGTACTAAGAAAAATTGAGATTATAAGTTTTGCAATGCTATGTATCTTTAACATGTTTAAGTTGACAGAGGCTGTGTAAACTTTTTCACTCTTGAAAAGTAGTAATTGTTAAATATTTAGATTCAATGTACCATTGGAAGCATTTTTTAATGGTAGAAAACGCAAAATTTATTTAATTTACGTTCTTCGTAACTATTTTTATAAAAAAAAAATAATAATAATGATAATGAGAACCAAAGTTTTCTTGACAAGACTTAAGTTAATGATATATAATATAAAAAAAGACTGTAATTAAATTTATCCAGTTACGTAAACGAGTGTTTGTTGCTTCTTAATTCTTTATTCATCAAATTTGCGAACATGGCACACAATTTGTTAAAATTCTTGCGTTAAGTTTGGTAGAAAGTGACTTTGAATAAGAAAATTATTACTATCTATTATACGCAATTCGCTACATTACAGCATTTTTAGTTTTATTTTTTCCATTTGTATTCGTAAGTATGTAAAAAATTTAATTAATTGAATAGTTTAAAAGTGATTAGAAAAATAAAAAAAACTAAGCCTTTTATAAGAATCAAACTTACAACAGCCAGTTGCCATAAATTTTCGCCGGAAGTAACTTACGAGCCATTTTATTAACTCTACACTAGATATTAAAATTTAACATTTTATTTTTCGAACGAAAAAGTAGTATATCAATAATAAAGTTACTACGTATATACCAATAATACGTGTACATTAAGCTTCTCAACATCATTTTTGTTATGATTATTTTTACAGTTATTTGTATGTATTATTTGTATACCACAAATATTTATAGTCAATACTATGTTTTTGTAAATTTTAATCATTATAAATACTTCTCTTATAGGCGAAAAAATTAATCAAATCAATGTGATTTATGAATTAGTTTTTAAGAATGAAATGTTGAACTCGCTTGATGATTGATGGGCCTAAAAGAGTATAAACGACTAGTCTGTAGAAAAAAACACACCCACACAAAACAAAAAAACGAAATCAGCGGCTTTACACAAAAAGACTTTCATAATTGCCCTGTTTTCGCATTTCGCATTTCTACGTTTGTATTAGTTATCTTTTTTGAAATTTATAAGTTGTTTACATTGTCGATGTTACGTGCGTTATTTAAGCCTTCGACATTTGCTTGTCATTTTACATGTTTGATTTATATTATTATGATTATTATTGCGCTACAAATGCCAATTTTTTTAAATATCGATTCTCAAAGAAATGCAGCCTTGTAGTGGAAATACTTGTACATAAAATAAAAAAAAAAAACAAAAAAAAAAAAAACGAAAACTGTAATATATGTGGATAATATATTATGAAATAAAGATCAAACGATTAAATTAATCCAGGTACTTATATGTAAATATTTTACGTTCATGCATAAATAACCCACAATTTATTTTTTTCTTAATTTTCGCTTGTTATGTAATGACATTATGTAGAAGCTAAACTTCATTAGAAGCATATGCGACAAATTCTGTTAGTAGTATTTTTGAGTTATAACTACCTTAGTTACTAATTGCATGCCTTCTTCACATTAACAAAGCATGCTCATGTCTTCCAAGTTGAAACTAATATTTATAGTTAATTTCACTTCAATAATAATAGTAATAGTTCACTATTAATATTTAATGATTGTATTATTATTTTATCACTTTAATACCTAAAACACTACAATTTTAGAGTGAATCTTTTACGCTAAGTTGCTAGTTAAGTAATGTACTTATAAAAATAGTAAAAGTGATGAAAAATTTCAGCAATACGAAATAGAAAAACTTAAAATAAGTAAAAAAGTAGAAAAGACCGATGTGACAATGAAAAAATTCGTTTAAACGTAATGTGTTGTTTCTTACGTGCAGCAGCAGGCTTGACCCGACGACGACTTGAGCTACGTTCAAGCTGTTATCCCTCACGAGCGAAGACGATTTGACTGCACTCCCATCCCTATCACAACCTGGTATCTGTCACACTTTATCGCATGCGACAAAAATGTTTTTTCGAAAGACGAAGTAAATACGTAAAAGTTACAATTTATCGACAATTTTAACGAGTTTTATCGTGAAAAGCACCGTTATTTAACATCTCTTTTTTAAATATTTTACCCACCATGGATGAGAAAGATAAATTTTATGCATTCTCAATTACATTGTGCACACCCGTACGTATATTATAAGCATGAAACTATGATATTATTATTATTATTCGTGTTAAAGAAATGTGACGAAACAACGGGCACTCTAAAAGATAAATTATAAATTAAAAAATAGATACATTATATATATATATATATATAATGAGAAGATTATCATTATATTACTATTGAAAATGTTATATACAATTGTTGTGAAAATTTACAATGACTGCAGAGATTAAAGTAATGTAAGAAACAAGGAAAACAGTTCAAAGACTCAAAAGTGTTAGCTTTAGGAGACACGTAAGTGTATTATAGTCGACTGCTTGTACTTAAGTATGTTTAATTATTGTACGTATATGGTAATACTTTATATCTTTGTACAAAGCTGACGAGTGAATTTGTGGCAAATTCATTGATTGTTAATTATTGCAAGCATGTGTCGATGCCAAAGAATTGCATTTAAAAGAAAAAGAAAATCGTTTTTTTATATGTACCTACTTGTAGCTATATTTTATATGTACTTATCAATCCATTCTTGTATTTTAAAACAAAAACAGTATACATATGAATGATGGACAAAAGACTTGTGTGTAACAACGTTCATTACGTTGACTTTTTTCCTTATCATTTTGTAATATCATTTCCATTCATCACAAGAAGAATTTTTTAATATCATCCTATGGAACGTTTAATAATTTGAAAAAAGTTGATTGTTACTAATAACATTGCAATTTTTTTACACAAATTCAAGTTTTTTTTCTGCTTATGATTCATCTCTTTCTGTGTAATGGAATTTACATTTAGTGTATATTTTATGTAAATAAATTTCTGTATAAACTTCATTAAAAAAAAATAATCGACAAAATCGTTTCCTGTTTTATTATTATGTATTATTGGTAGCGCTAAAGAAGGGTAAACGGAGTAATAAAAAATAATAAGTCATATTTATTATTAAATCTTATACGGATTTATTTTTGTGTACAATGCTACATTAAAGTAATTATTATTTTACATAATTCTTTTATTTTGTTTCTGGTGGTTCAAAATAACGTTTATTTCTATTTATGTACATTTATCGTGCTGTATATTATATGCAATAATACTTAATAAATTTCTATAGTACAACAAGGTCAACGTTGGTCGACTGCATTTAACATACAAAGATACAAATTTTTTCTAATATACACACGCACGACCGTAGACTCATTTATTTTTACGCGCACGAGAGTCAACGTCGAGCTTTAAATTCATTTTTTCCTTCCAAGATCAAGATAGTAATATACAAATAATTCATCTTTCGTTTAGATATAAAGTAAACTAATATCGTACTTTGGAGGAATGTCGTGATGGCGTAGCACCAACTTCACTATAAAATCGTTTTAATTGAACCGTAATGGCACTTTACAAATTAAATAATGCCTATTTCATATAAATTCATTTATTTATATATATATATATATATTTATTTATATAATTTGTTTTCTTTAATTTATTTCTTCGCGTAAAACCTATGCAATAACGTAGCAACAATAACAACGGTGGATTTGACTTTTTAGTTCATCCACTTACGGCAGTTGGGCGCTCCACAAGCGCACGGTATCTTATGCTGATCATCTTCAATATCGAATTTGTAATCGTATGCCAACTAAAAAAAGAAAATATTTTCGTTTAAATTAATTAAAAAATCATTTTAAACTATTTTTTCAAAGCTTTATTAAAATAATTTTACCTCTTCACCACGCAAAATTTTTCGCTTTGCAAAAATAATAATCCTGAGATCTTCAACTTGAACTATTTCAGCAACACAATTTGGATTACATGAGTGATTAATGTAACGAGCAAGACCGCCGGATAAGGTAGCGTCGACCACACGATTTTCATCCAAACGAAACATGTAAACCCCTCGATTCTAAAAACAATCGTATAAAATAAACGTTGCTTTTCAGTTTTTAGTTTCCCATGACAGTTTATAAAATCACACTACACTTACCCTAGCCTCATACTGCTTCTCCCTTTTCTCAGCCAATTCGGAACGAATAATTTCACCAATATATTCAATGACCATGGTATGTTTCTCCAAGTCACGCGCTGCATAAAGACCAAGGCCCTGAATCTTCGACCTAGCTAGATAAACATTATTGCGCCAGTCTTGTTTCATTTTTTTGTACTGCTGACTCTTGGAGTGTACAAACGGCTTGGAATAGCTGGGCTCGCTCGGGTTGTTGGACGCCGTTGGTGTGTAATTAGTCCGCGACGTCGCGGCGGTTCTCTGCGTGTGCGGACGCTTCCAAGGCAGCTGGCTTCTAAGACGAGCCTCTGTTCTCGCGCAGCCGCTTGGATTGATGGCAAGTGGAAGCTCGAGCAAGGGGTTACGACCGTACTTGAACTTGTAGTCGGTCAAGGTCTCGATGCCGGGCAGACTCTCGAGTACCCGCACGACCGCTGGTTCGGTCAATCCGAATAGATCTTCACCGGTTACATAACGGGGAAAAAGTTGCACGGTCTTGTTGTCTTTGCGCATCTTCGCCAATGGCTCGAGAATTCGATTCCACACAGCTCGCGGCGATGCATCGCGCAGTTCCACGTCCTCTTGCGCTGGCTCTTGGACGAGGACGCGAAACTCGGGTCGTCCTGATACGTCGTGAATGGAACAGACATAACGGCAGCGTTTGTTAAGGCGCCTCATACTCCAGTAGAATCGGACAATTTTGTAGCCCACTGGATAAATGTGGTTGGAGGTGTGGAAGTTTGCCAGTTGATGGGGCAGTAAATGACCGACGCTCAAAAATATGAGGCTGCCCACGCGGAGGAGATTTGTGTGATCCGAGTGGTGCATTACAGCTGCCACTTGCTTGTTCTCATCGCGATTAATGTAAACTCGACGGTAGACGGAGAGTGTTGTGAGTTCGTTATCTTTTTCGTTTTTGGGAACGTGTTGCGAACAGTATGTGCTCTGCAAATAATATTTTTGACCAATAAATATTCAATTCACCATAAATCATAGAAATATATTTTTAACAACTTTTCGATACCTTATTTTTAAAGAATATGCAGCCATCTCTCACTGCGCAACCAAGATGATAATGGCTGTTGCAACGTATTTTAAAACACTTGACGGTAGCGCCGGTTTGATGACAAAGTATACACGTTGTATTTTTTGCGGAATTTAGGGCTACGTCCAAATTCATGAGAGCGCCATTGACCGTTTCGTACACATCTTCCGACCAAAGGGCGCAATTTAAATGTACCCATTTATTGACATCGAAATTAAGAAGTCGTGCCGTGCCGTCTGCAGCGCCGTCCCCAATGTTTTGACAAAAAATGCAGCGGCGAGTGTCATCTGCATTTGATGGCAAAGTAACAGTAACACCCGTTCGGAAAAGTGTCTAAAACAATGAAAAGTCGCATTAGTTAAAGTCATTGTAAATTATAATCTTGGAAAATGTTACATTTGTTGATTGCGCCATACCTCTGTCATTTCTCGATCGGTTGGTTTCTTGTATTTTGTAGTTGGGTGCATCGAGCCAGTGGACCAAGACTTGTATCGAAGACCTTTCCAAACTTTGGATGGTGGTTCAGCAATATCCATCGCTTCTTCAGCTGGATGCTTCCTCGATCGTCTTTCATCCGTGAAACTGTCCCTACTGTGCTGCGATTCTTGATCATCTTTTTCGTTTTTCATTCTATTGTCGACGTCCATTTCAACGTCCATAAGATCGACTCTTTCAGCAGATTGTTTTATTAAATTCTTTGACTTTTCTTGCACTTTTCTCAATTCATCCTCAAAATATTTAGAATCTGACTTTTGACACAAATGATCAACGATCGCAGCAGCCTAAAAAGCAAGTTTTTAACAATNATGATTATTTTTACAGTTATTTGTATGTATTATTTGTATACCACAAATATTTATAGTCAATACTATGTTTTTGTAAATTTTAATCATTATAAATACTTCTCTTATAGGCTCAAAAATTAATCAAATCAATGTGATTTATGAATTAGTTTTTAAGAATGAAATGTTGAACTCGCTTGATGATTGATGGGCCTAAAAGAGTATAAACGACTAGTCTGTAGAAAAAAACACACCCACACAAAACAAAAAAACGAAATCAGCGGCTTTACACAAAAAGACTTTCATAATTGCCCTGTTTTCGCATTTCGCATTTCTACGTTTGTATTAGTTATCTTTTTTGAAATTTATAAGTTGTTTACATTGTCGATGTTACGTGCGTTATTTAAGCCTTCGACATTTGCTTGTCATTTTACATGTTTGATTTATATTATTATGATTATTATTGCGCTACAAATGCCAATTTTTTTAAATATCGATTCTCAAAGAAATGCAGCCTTGTAGTGGAAATACTTGTACATAAAATAAAAAAAAAAAAAAAAAAAAAAAAAAAAAAAAAAAATCAAACGTTATTAAATTAGTATATAAAGCAAGGATTTACTTTGTCAATGGTATAACTTGGGGCCCTGTGCATCAGTGCAAACTGCATGTAACAAGCTGCTGAGCAAAAGTATAGCTCGTCGCCTGGCTCAGCTTCCTCTTTACTTAAAAACGGCAATTCAGATACTTTTTTACGAATCAAACTATTAAGTATCACAACGTCACAGTGACGGCAAAATTTGGCTGCCCCATTTAATATACTCTGAATGTCGATTGGTACCCCTTCTTTTCCGTCTTTTCCCTTTATCCTGTATAACCCTAATTTCTGACTGGGCGGTGTTGTCGTACGTTCGATAATTTGATAGCCTGTTGGCGGCGTTATATTAAGAATGTTAGCCAAGTCTTTAAGTACGCCCATTATATCGTCTGCAGCTTGACTATTCAGAGTTAGAGTCACAGTGACGTTTCCGTTTTCAGTCAACAACGCAGATGACTTATTGAACCTGGAATTCAAAAATTCGTTACATTACATAAATAATTTTATCTACGAGTAAAAATGAATTTTTCGCATTTACCTAGTTACTCCCACGTTTTCTTTATCATGTTTTGCCACGTCTTTGATGTGTCCAGGTTTTAGACGAATAGGAATCGGAGAAACTATGGGGATGACGGGTGATATTCGTTTTAGCCATTCAGTTTCTTCGTCTGAGTCGTCGTCTATTAATTTCAAGCCCGGGAATCGATTCATAAATTCTGGTATCACACATTCCGGAGACGACGAACTCACTATTGTGTCAGGAGTATCGATATCTCGACCTATTAGAGAATTTTCCTTTTTGTCATCGGCTAATAGAAAACAAATTTTAATCATCATCGCGGTCCGATAATTTTTTTTTTTAAAGAAAAAAACCGCCGAAATACTTACAATCATCAAACTTAAGAGGAGGAAATTCTTGGTCATAAAAACTTCTCAGAGTCGATACTGGTGGAAGTGGAGGTAAAGGTTCTAATTCGCCGAACGGCTGTGTATTGTAATGATCGGAGATTCCAGTGAGACAAGCTTTTCCGTACGTGCCAGTGAGTTCGCCAGTTCGAGTGTTGTACTCTACTTTACCGCCAAACTTTGTGAGGTCTCCGGATCCATAAATCGGACACACGCTATAGTTTTTGCCTAAAATAGGTTCTAAAATTGCCATTGGCTGGAGCTGTCGCAATTGTACCATAAGATTGTCAATAAATGTATCGTAGTCCTCTTCCAAGCGAGACATCTTCCTGGGTCTTTTCTTTTGTGGTGCTACAGAAGCATCCTTGCCTTGACTTTGTCTCCGTTTGTGGTGGTACTGGCGCCTCTTTAACTTTTTGAGATCTATACGAAAAAAAAAAAAAAAAAAAAAAAAAAAAAAAAAAAAAAAAAAAAAAAAGAAAAAAAAAAGAAAAAATTAAATTAACGAAAAAAGTTGTTAAGGTACGAAAATCAAATGGAAACCTACCAGTTTTATCGTCGATGGAGCCATCGATGAGTTCTTCTTTGGCAGATAAAAAGTCTTTGGTATCGTTAAACTGTACAGAAGCGGCGCTGGAAAGGACCTCGTCGTGTATTTCTTTTTTAACTTCGATTAAAGGCACTGTGTGTTGAGTGGTTGTACCCTGTGGCAGCTGAGCTTGACGGTTCAACATCTGAGCCGTCGATTGAGGCACTGATGGTTGTATCGGGTTAACGTGCTGAGGCGACACAGTCGCATCAGGAGCAGCGGTCATGCTTGGAGACGTTTGAATTGCCGGCGAGACGGACTTTGGATTTGAAACCTGACCTACTGTACTAGCATGGAGGGGACTCTGACTCGGCGTTATATCTTTGCTCTCGATGGCAGTAGGTTGTACGTCCTTTGGTGCAGTGCTGACCAATTGCGGTTGTTGTGGCTGCTGTGGCGGTTGTTGTGGTGTTTGATGTTGAGGCTGTTTTTCAGCTGGAGCAGGAGCTTGCTGAGTTGCAGCAGGTGTTGGCACGAGTGGAGTCTGCTGGGGCGTTGGCACGGCACTGTTTTTAGTCGCCTCGACCTCAGATTTTATTTGAGTCGGTATCGTGGCCGTTACTTCTGGCGGTACTGCTGGTTTTTCGATAGATGTAACAGGCGTAGACGAGGAGACTGTTGGCTTTTGCGGTGGTGATTTTACTGTAACGGGCTGTTGAATGGTAGCTACAGGCGTTGTTACAGGAGTCGCAACTGTGATTGGTACTTTCTCCGGAATCCCAGCTATTGGCTTGGTTAAATTAGTCAGCAAGGGCGAGGCAACTGTGGGCGTCGATTTCGCTGCGTCTATTTTGGCAGGTGGATTCTGCGTTTTGGATAAAAATGATGTCTCACGACTCAGCAGTTGCTGTTTCGTAGTTGTGGGTGTCGACGCTGCCGTCACATTAGACTTGGTTGTGTCAGGAATATCATGTAGCAGCGGTGGAAGCAAGGATGATGGCCTTGGAGACACTGGCCGTGCAAGCTGAGCCTCTAGTGAAGGAACGTTCGGGAAACTCGAGGTCAAAGTCGAGTTTGATCCTGAGCTTGCTGCTGTAGTTGCCGTATTTTGTAGAAGCTGCTTGAGCAAGACGTTTTGCGAGTCTTCCAGTCTGGCTTTGCTTGAATCTGCATCACTTTTTGGGGTCGGCGATTTCTCAATGAGACTTTTGAATAGAACCGCTTCGGTCTCCTTCTTTAACAGCGAGCTTTTATTGGCCACTGTAGAAAAAAATGAACCATTTATAAAAATGTACGATACTGTATTATATAATTTCATATTTCTCCGTGAATGTCGCGAGTTATCTTTCGTTTCAATGTAACAATGCACGACAAATATTTTATCATTCATCGTTTTTTTACTTATTTATTTTTTTAATTAATGAAATATTAAAAAAAAAAAAAAAAAAAAAAAAAAAAAAAAAAAAAAAAAAACCAGGAGTCAATTTACCAGAAGAATCCGCATCCGTAGTCTTATCATCTACGATCAGGCTCCCGGCAGCAGGTTGTTTGCTTTGCACGGAGCTAGCCGTCAGCTGAGCGTGAAGAAGCGTCGGTGCCTGGGAAAGCGTAGACTGGAGTATACTCGTGGAGACGTTCACAGCATCGGTGCGGGTGGCAGCAGCAGCAGGTGTGGATGAAACAAAACGATTATCCGAGAAAGGTCTGTTTGAGGACCCCTGCTGCGTGGAAGACTGAACAGTGGTGCCACTGCTTGAGGTAAGTACTGTGTTGGCGTGAGACTCATTTATGGAGGGCTGCTGTGAGCTGGAGAGTATAGCGTTCAACATGACGTTGCCGGATGAGGATGACGCAGTTGTTACAGCACTCGAGCTGACGGCTCGGCCGGAACTTGCACTTGGCATCGTTGTCGCAGCAGTACCTGTTACCTCCTTGGCTGACTCGGTCTTGCTTGTGGAAGAAACTGTGCTGGTCTGAGCTCCGCCAGTCGTAGCGATGGCACTGGAGCTGTTCAAAGCAGAAGTGACTAGGCTAGACTGCACGTTGCTCGCGAAACTTTGCGACGAGTGCAGAGACGATAGCAAGCTCCTCAGCTGATCACTGACGTTTTCGGTGTTGGACTTGATTTCAGTGGGCTGAGACAGGGGCGAGAGATGCGGCACTGTCGTCTTCGTGCTCTGCAGCTGCGCCACTGTGCTGGCAATCGCTGCCTGGGCTGTTGTCTGCGCTGGGCTCTTTTTAGCTGTCACTGTGCTCGCAGTCGATTGCTGAACGCACGGTGGCGTGCTCCGCGCAACGGGAAGACTCTTCTTTCCTAATTCTAATACTGATTTCATCTCACTTGATTCCGTGGGGTCTTGCTCTAAGTCCGCCAAGATGTTCAGTGGCAACGATTCGAGTGGGGCATCCAACTGATACATCAGGCTTGATTTTTGCGACTTGTCGTCTTGCATTTCTGGTTTCGACGATATGATATTCTGCAACATGTCAAGAAGGTCGTCCGACGACTCGTCCATCATATTTTTACCCTCGGAAATTCGCGACTGCACAAAAAACTTGTTGCTCTCGCTCTCGGTCGCGGATGTCGGTTGGATTTGAACTCCATCCAACGTGTCGCCAGAACTGTTTGTTTTAGTGGAATCGCTTTGAAACTGATCTTTCTCTTTGTCCGACTCACTTATTTCTCTCGTTTGTAAGTTATCACAAATATCCTGTTTCACATCATTATGAGTCATCGTTTCAGCATCATTTTCCAAAATATTCACTAGAGAAAGATCGTCGGTTACGGGCGATATCCTTTTCAAAGTTTGTACATCGGTCTTATCGTTATTCGAACTTTTTTGGCCGTTATTCACACTATCGTCATCTGGGTTATGAATGGCTTCTAACATACTTTCTAACTCGTCCGTAGTATTTAAAATATCTGTCTTTTTCTCATCTTCAACACTACTACTACTGATATGCGACGTCGCGGCACTACAACTATTATCTACAATTTGTTTGTTTACTTTCTTTTCACTCACTGCTTCTACAGTTTCCTTGTTTGTTGAATCATTTTCAGTTGCACCGCTATCACACGTGTCCACCGATTTGATTAATGGTACTTTTCGCTTCTGCAATTTCGCGGCCGTTATTTTCGAAGTGCTCAGAACGATCGATGCATCTTCTACACTGGATTTTAGCTGGGACGCATTTTTGTTGTTCTCTACTGTCTTTGGAACGAGTGTCACTTTGGATTGTAAAATTTGAGATGGTAGTGTAGTGGGTATGCTGGAAACTTTTTCAAATACACTAATGGATGGTTGACCGGCTTCGGCAGACGTAACTTTTGTCTTGCAATGCAGCTCTGTCGCCACCGCTTCAATTTGTGATGTAACCTTAAGAGCGCTTGATGTTATACTTTTAGTATTACTTTTATTACTGGGCTTAGCGCTAACTTTACTGTCCACTACAATGTTACATGTATTCGACGGTGTAGATGTTGGGTTTTTACTTTCAGTTGTGATAGTTGAAAATTCTTTTTCTATATTTGTCAATGATGACGTCACTGTGGTTCTAGGAAGGAGCTTATCTGATGTAGAAGTCGCTTCGCTTACTTTCGATAATTTGACATTCGATGACAGAGAAGGAAAAGTCGAAAGCGACTTGAAGCTTCTTCGATTCGGATAAAAATCATCCTCGTCTTCTTCTTTGAAAGTAAATGTATTAAAGGCATCATCGTCCGTCTTATTTTCCATATCAATTTTTTCACTTCCAGAAGGTATTTTCACTACAATGGGGGTATCAGTCATACTCAAAAGTTCATCTTTTATTTTAGATGCGTCTAACAAATTGGCTTCAGAACTTTCTTCATCGCAAGACATTTTTGGCACGTTAGTAGGCGATTTTGAGCCGGAATCTAAAATAACGATACCAGATTCCGAGAGTGATGCCAGTAGATCTTGATCCGATGGCGAGTTGTCCAAACATAAGCCCGGTGATGGTTGTATGACTCTAAGCTCCTGGTCGAGCGAGTCAGGAGTTTCGCTTACCGCAATCAATCGGTTTCTACTGCTATGCGACGATACGATTTCTTCGCCAAACGTTGTATCTTCGTTCGGTGGTTCTGGATGGTCGATTTCTAAGATTTGAACAAAGTCGTGACCAGCATTGTTGTCGTTAACCAAAGCGTTACTCAGCGAATCGTTACTGTCGACTGACAAAACCATGTCAGATTCGAAAAGTACGTATTCCTCTTGCATTTCAGCATCCAAATTACCTTCCATGACATCAATTTCTGATTCACCGAATTGTTCCATGACCGGAATGTCATCGTTATCCTTTTGAGCGGTCGAGCTCAGCGTGACTTCGGTGTTGATGATAGTTTTGTCGTCGTCGTAATCCGTCGTATCAGGAAGGGACTCGACCTTTTCCCCAGGACTTCCTAAATTCATAGCGGAATTATTAATGATCAAAGAAGTCGCTACTCTTGTCTCGACGTTAGTCGGAGGAGTTTGTGGAGGCGTGTGAGAATCGTCGTCGATATCATTGTAATCTTCGCTAACCAAGGAATTTATTTTTGATTGCGAGATACCAGTTTTGCGATGAACGACTGTCGAAGTGTTTGGCTTTTCCTCGGAATTGCTCAGCTGTCCCTCTGATGCCTTGCTTTTGCTTGATTCGGGCTTAGAGGACCACATTGGCGAACCTCCAAAAAGACCAATTCTAAAAAAACCGTATTTTTTGAATAGCACCGGCAGAGGGATCGGATTGTTTGGATTGTGAGGGTTGCCGCCTCCTCGATTATTTTGATCCATCTGCATGTTAACTTCCTGGGGATTTTGCTGCATCTGTTGAAAACTTGGCACATGCTGCTGTTGCTGCATGAGCTGCTGCTGATCACTGATCGAGTGATTGCTCGAGTTCTGCGAGCTGTAAGCCGAATGAGGAGTGTGCGGCGTCCTCGGTGTTCCTGGATTTTCAACGCTTTGTGGGCGATCGGGCATGGCTGGACTGTTGCCGGTCGACTGTCGCCTCTGTTGCATTTGCATCGATGGTGAACCCCCTACCATCGGACTTCGTGGCATGGGCGAGTTGGGTGTCTGACAAGGAGGTGGATGATGCGCCGACGTCATCTGATGCAGCATCGGGGACGTAGACGGATGATTTCTCGCCATTGGACTTGGCGGCTGATATTGTGACATCATTGGAGAATTTGGTGGATGGTTGCCGACACGTTGATTCATCGGACTCGATGGCTGCGACGACTGGCTGAGCTGTTGCTGTAACATCGGCGAGCTCATTGTTTGTTGAAGCAAAGGACTGCGAGGGTGAGGTGACGTCGATGGCTGATTGTAGCCCTGTTGTTGCATTTGTTGATGTAATTGCGGACTCGGAGATGACACTGGTTGAGCAATCATCGGCGAGGTGGGCGGTTTTTGCATAATCTGCTGTACTTGTTGTTGTTGCTGCTGCTGCTGTTGCTGCTGCTGTTGTTGTTGTTGTTGTTGTTGTTGTTGTTGTTGTTGTTGTTGTTGTTGTTGTTGTTGTTGCTGAATTGATTGCTGTCTCTGCATCATTTGTATGTTACGCTGATTTATAAGATTTTGATTGTCCTGCGCAACAAGACCCACTTCGTGCTGCTGTTGAATCATTTGCTGACGTTGGAGCATTTGTTGGTGCTGTTGCTGTGTCATCATTGGCTGCTGACCAGGCTGAGGGCTACCAAGAGGTGAGCGTTGTCCGTAAATCATATTACTCTGCGGCCTCTGGCCTTGCGTCTGAATTATGTTTGGTCGCACGAATCTCTGAGGCAAACAGTGCATCTGTTGAGGCATGCGTATTTGCTGGGAGTCGGGAGCGAATGCACCAGGACTCGTGGTAAGCCTGCTCCCAGCGACGGTTCGATGTTGAGGTGACGTCATCCTTTGAACGGTGGGTCCGCACATACCAGACGAGGACATTGCTCCTGGACTGAAGGGACTCTCTTCGGGCTGAGAGTGAGGCGTCCCTATTCGCGGAGACGGTTGCATATTACTGTGAGGTGACATCGTGCCCGGATTCTGAGGATTGCCGGGACTGTGCTGCACCATCGCAGCGGGCGAGTGCTGAATCATATTGGCGGTAACGCTGCCCGGGCCAGGACTCTGCGACATCATCGCAGCCGGACTGTGCATAGGTGACGAGTGCTGCGAAGGAGACATTAGGGGGGAACAGGGTTCACTAGTTTGAGGCTGGGATTGAGCTTGCTTTTGCTGCTTGTTTCGATACTCTTGCATGAGAATACCGTGCTGACGGCTCTGCTTACGACTCGTTTCCAAATGTTTTTGAAATATGTTCTGCTCGCTCGAGATTCGGTGAAGTTCAGCTGCATCGTTTTCGGTTAGCTCGTTGCCTGCCTTTCGACATTGTCTTTGTTTGCTATTAAGAGACTGTTGGAAAAAAGAACCAAACGATAAAGTAACATGCATTATTGCGAATTTGTTAACGTAAATATCACAAAAAGAAGCTAAATAAAAATTGAACTTAAAAACATTTACTAGTCAAGACACTATTTTTTTGCCAGGCACACACAAAAACCATGACTCACTTTTCTAACCTTCCGAAGTTTCATAACTTCTGTTTCATAATATTTCAACTGCTGCGCCAGAATTTGACTCTGATGGTTCATCCAGTTCTCATACTGCAACTGCATCTGCCTATCCTGCTCGGTAATAATGTTGTCAGGAGGCATCGAAGGCGCCGGCAATTGAGGTATATTAAACGTTTGGATTCTCGCTAAAAATAAAAAAATTTTTAAAAAATTTATCAATTCTTCAATTTGTTGTCTTTTGGTTGAAGACATAAAAAAAAAGAATTGTGATTGATGTTTAATGTTGTTTCGGATCAAGAGTGTATCGTATAAACAATAAACAGTAACCAAAACGATCCTTAGTCCATTAAATGTGAATCGCAAGTGAAAAAGAAAAGATCATGAATTTAGAAACGATAGCTAAAAAATAAAAAAAAAACCAACGTTCGGTAGTGGTTTGTGTTTTGGTGGGTAGTGGTGGTTGCCTCTGCGCTTGAACGACGACTTTACCAGGTTCAACCACGGGCTGCTGCCAATTTTGCGTGGCAGTAATCTGAGAAACAGTTGGTATTGGTCTGGGTGGACCTACGGATCTGATACCCCCAGCCTGCACCTGACCCATCTGCTGAGGCGGCGAGGACAGAGGTGTCGAACCTAACACGTCAGCCTGCAACCGTTCGAACTCGATGTCGCTTAGTAGACCGGCAGCCGGCGTCGTCGTATCGGCTTGTTGTTGCTGTTGCTGCTGTTGTTTTTCTTGTTCGCGCTTCTCCTGCTCCAGTAGCTCCTCCAGAAGCAGCGGTTGTTCCTGTAAACACGACTGCTGACGATTGAAGTCAAACTTACACGGTTGAGAAAAATAAATTGGGATTTATCAAGTTGAGAAAAAAAAAAAAAAACTTAAATAAATATCGAAGGCTGAAAGAAGACAGATATATCGGAGTCGTTTTTTTCTATAAAACGCAATTTTACATGTCGCATGCAATACTTGTCGATCATTGATGTTTTTTTAACCAAAGTAATTTATGCTGGATTAACAATATGAAAATAATATGACAGTAATTAAATTATTTACATGCTCACGAAGATGTTTTCTTTTTGTCCTTTTAAGCTTATAAATTCGAAGGTGACTTATCATTAGTACGTGATAATTGGTGCGCGAAATGGAACAAAAATCAGGTCAATATAAAAACGGAATATATTTTGTAGGAGATCGGTATGATTGATTTGCCACTGTTTGTCTCTGAATACAAGTGCTTAGAATTTGCCCAGAGTTTGCTCACCTGCAGAAGCAAGGGCCTTCGGTGAGGATGGGGCACCATCGGCGGCGCATTAGAATGAACCATCGGGCCCGTCGGTGGACCCGGAGGTACCATGTGCATGGGTGGCCGCGGCGGCAAACCCCGATCACCCGAGCATAGCCCCATCTGGACATGCACCAACACCAAACCATTCACCCAAGGCCAAAGAAATACCAGTTTGCCAGCAATGTTCAACTCTTTTTTTTTTTTTTTTACTCATTAAGTGTATTCACAATTGCTGGCTCGCAATTGTTACTATTTTAACGATTTTCCAAGCAATTTTGAAACATGCTTTTTTAAAGCTTTGTCATTCAAGATAGTGAAAACTCCCAAAGAATTTTGATGAAAATTACCAATTGAAACCAGCACCAATTAAAAAACACTTGGAAATTCATGTGGTCATTCGAAAATACAATAATTCAGTTTACCAAAGAGCTTGTTACAAGCAAAAAAAATGTAAATATGCTAGATCAGTTAAAATGTTAATTTTTCTTTTTCTTGAAAGTTTGAACAATTCGCTGGGTGCATGAGGCTGGAGGCACAACCAACACGACAATAGTATTTCAATACATTTTTTCAGCTTACTTTAATAATTCTTTGTTAAGATGTTGATTTGGTGAAAAGTGAGCGTAAAACGTTAGCAAATAGTGTTGCACGATTTCACCAATTTGTAGAGCGCTGCATACTACGCAGTGATGCACCCAGCGATTACGTCAAATAGTACAACCCATCCATTTGAAAATAACGCAATAATTATGTATAACACGTAAGCGTACCTGCATCGGTCCTGGATAAGGCGGTGGAGGTCCTGGATAAGGAGGAGGCGGCGGCGGTGGAGGAGCTGCCAATGGCATTCTCTGACCCATCATATGACCAACCGATGCAACCCGTCCTGCAACATTAGGAACACCAGCTACTCTCATTCCCATCCGTTGTTGTTGTTGTTGTTGTTGTTGTTGTTGCTGCTGTTGCTGTTGTTGCTGTTGCTGTTGTTGTTGCTGTTGTTGAACTGAATAAATAACGAAGCGTAAAATTATACGTACACAAAATGATATACTCGCACAGGTGTACATTACACAAAAGCTCTCAATTTCTGACCTGGTAAGTGTTGTTGCTGAGGTAATCGTTGTGGATGATTTGGAAATGTTGGTGGATAGCTGACGGTCACTGAATTAGTTGACGTCACAACACCAACTGCGCCGTCAGGAGACAGCAATTTCGTTCCAGGAAGCATCGGTCTACCCATGGCTGCTGCTTGCTGCACGTGCTGATGCATTTGCTGGTGTACCACAGCAGCTTGTGAATGAGGCATCATGTTTGCTTGCGGCTGTGATGGCGGTGTGGCCTGAGGAACACTCGGGGCCATGGTCTGTGCTTGCACCGGAACATTTGACGTACCAGATGCCGGTTGCATGGTATTTGTTGCACTCATTTCATTGGTATCCGTGACAACTGCCTCGAGTTCTTTCGACTTTTGTTCGTCTTCGTCCTCTTTCGTGTCTTGTTTTTGTTTATCATCTTTTGTGTCGACTTCATCCTGCTCCAAATCTAAATCGAATATATTGGTTTTCTCGCCACCAGTAAGTTGAGCCAACTCGGGATCGGCATACTCAAGAATGTTAAAATTGGCTCCCATTTCAGCTAAAAGTTCATCATCATCTTCCGTCAAGTCTCCTAATATTGCACTAACACTTTCAACTTCAGCAATGGGCGCTCCTTCTTGCTCGAGCTTTTCTAGCTCAGCCGTCACGTTGTCCGGTATTTCGGAGGTTTCCGATAACGTGACGTTAGTTTCGTTGACTGTCGGTAAAATTGGCGGTCTAGTCATTCCAGCTGTATTCATTAAACGAGTACCCTGGTTCATTGTGTTTTGAGCAGCTTGCATGACCCGTTGTCCCAAATTTTGTCCTTGATTAGCATCTGTTGATCGAAATGATGGGTTATATTGCCAATATACAATCGAAAAATATAAAAATAAAAGGCGAAACGACTATTTTACCTGAGAAACGTTGTTGTAGAATTTCATAATGCTCTGCAATGGGGCTTTTTGGTGCAGCCATACGTTGTTGAACCATTTGATTATTTTGAAAGGGCAAAGGAGCATTGTTTATCAAAGGCCTTTGTAAAAGTACCCTCGTCCTAGGATCTATTCCGTGCAATCTTGCCGTGTCAACATTTGCGACACCAGGGTGTCTCGGTTGCATTCCTATCAATTTTCATTGCAACTTATGACTTTGTACATTATGTATGGTGTGAGAAGCAACAAAATAAACGAACCTATCGAACTTCGTATCAAAATGTTGGATTGCACGTTAGGCATGCGTGGCCTTGCTGTACCCGGAGGAAGTGGTTGTCTGAAGGTACCGTCGGCAGGATTGTTCAACGGCGGCTGCTGGTGCTGTTGTAGTTGTAAGTTTGTAGTATCAAATTGCTGCTGCTGTGATTCAACTACAGGTTGGCCATCTGGAAGTAATACATTGCAACAAAATAGTATTTAATTTGGATTCTAGCTGCTGAACTTTGGCCAGTTAAGAATTTCAAACGGCAACGTTAAATCGTACATACCTTGGCCCCAAGTTTGATTTATCGGTTTCATTTGTTGTTGCCTCTGCAGCAGATCCCTCAGTTGCTTATTAACTTCTGGCTGCTGAGCAAAGATCTCATTAGTTTGAGGGTCGGATCGCTGCTCGGGCCTTGGCGACATGTAACTGGGAACTGGACTAGGTGTCGCCGGAGACGAAGGCGGTACTTGCTGTTGCTGCTGCTGTTGCTGTTGTTGTTGCTGCTGCTGTTGAGGCGGGGCATATGCTTCGGGAGTGCGAGATGGCGCGTAAACATGCGTCCGAGCAGCAGGAGCACTAAAGACGGGCCTTGGAGTGGCGGGATGTTGCGGGAAGACGTCGTTGCGAGGTGACGTGGAGTAGGAGGGACCAGGTCTGGCTTGAACTTGGCCAAACGGCTCGGAATTTTCAAAACGCTGAAAATGCTCGGGAGGCTGTGGCTGTACTTGCGAAGCCGGGGACTGTGGAAAATCATGAGGAGATTGAGGAGCTTGAGGAGAGAAGGGCGAAGGAGACTGCTGTTGGCCAAAGTTTCCGGGCATACCGGGTCGTGCCATCCCACCCATCGGCCGGCCAACCTGCGACACCTGCCCTGGTACTTGAGTCGTTTGTTGTTGGCCCGACGGTTGAGTCGCTTGTTGTTGCGACTGCTGACTCACTAGTCGGTTAGGCATGCCTGGATGTGGGCTCGGTGGTGCAACACCCCGATTTATTTTCATCGCTGGTGCTACAAATTGCCCCTGGACACCAGGTCGCGCCTGCAATCCTGGCCCCATTGGACCCAATGTGCTTCCGTCCTAAAATTTTTACACAATTATAGTTTAAATTTTATACACTTAATGGTCAATTTTAAAAATGTGAAAAAATGTACTTGTGACGTGGGAACCAGCTGTGGCGTCATTGCGGTTGCATTTTCATTAGTCAACGAGGAAGTGCCGTCATCATTAATTTGACGATGAGCTCTAACTAGTGCTAAAAAAAAATTTTTTAAATTTATTTCTTGAATTTTGCTCCATTGACAATGATTGTATTAATATGTAACTGCCAAAAAAGTTTAAATGTATTGCTTACCCATACCGTGGACGCGTTGATCGTGAATACCTTGTTGTTGTATGTGCGCTTGCTGCTGTCTCAAAGCTTGCAATTGTTTCCATTGGCGTTCCTGTTCTGCTTCTCGACTCGATCGATCTCTACTGGCAAGCTTATCTTGATCCTGTCGAAAAACGATCGAATAAGACCACATGATTCTTTCCAAAATAAGAACACTGCATCTTATACGTAAACATTGAAAAATTATGTGTAAAATTTTTTTCTTTGTCGATGAAAAAAGAAGTTAAAAGTTATTGTTTCAAAGATACAGTGTTCGTACTTCATGGCAACGCAAAAACAAAGATTATAAGGTTTTCTCAGAAAATCAGCCAGTTCCACATAAAGACGCAACAATTACAGAAGGCAGAAGATAACTTATTGCTAAATAAAACAAAAAAAAATTTTTTTAGTGCACCAAGTATAATGAGTAATGACCAGCCACCAGCCAAAAACAGAAAACAAACGTTTTCCTTAAAATATATACGTTCATTTCACTTGTAGAAGCTCTGAGTACAATTGTACATGCAAGTAACTTAAGTCTATTACAGAATAATTGAACAGTCTGTTTTTGAGTATTTTTCAGATCCACATATAGTGTCATGTTAGTGTTGTTATAACATCTGTAATTAAAGTATTAGTGTATGTTAAAAAATACTGAATTTTTTTTTTTATGAAAAAGTGTTGTTACTATTATATAGTTAAGAAACGAGAACACGCAAAATATATGTATATTGTTCATATTTATCTGATAATATATACTTATGGCGATTAACATAATTTAATTGAAGAGATGTACGCGTGTGATTTCTGCTGAGAAGAAGTTAACAAAAGATTAAAGTGTTTTTTTTTTATGTTCAGGTAAATAACTACGCACACTCACACCCTTTACACATTTTGATTGTAAGATAAAAAGCAGTAAAAATTGTTTCGCAACTGTTTGAAAAAAAAAAAAAAAAAAAAAAAAAAAATAAGAAAACTACAATAAACATTAGAATAACCATATCCACCAACAAAAATATTACATTAGAATCAATTGACTTTGGAAAAGGATTGATCATTGGAATTGGAAAAATAAGCTTCTGTTGAACGATGATTTTGAAATCTATTTGGGGAAGGACTTTTCGTGGAAATGTTTCACATGCCAAAATGATGACGAAAATATTGGGTTGAAAAAAAAAAAAAAAAAAAATGAACAGGAATCGGAAAAAAAATGTTTGTGAATCAATCGACAGCCACGAGATGAGGAGATAAGAAGGATTGTGTTCATTTCTAGAAAATAATTCGAGACATGGGCATGTAGATCATTCCAAATAAAAAATTCATCAAATGCTTACATCGATGCATGAAACGGAAAGTTTCATAAAAGTATTTTTAGACGTTGTTGAAGCAAACCTATACAAGTACTCCAAATGCATATAGTTAAGTAAAAAATACAAATCACGTAGAATCTCTAATTGATTTGAATCAGAGGCAAAAACAATTTATACTTGAAAGAACTCTTTTTGTTCTGCAGAAACAGTGAAATGTGTAAAAATTTGTTTACTAGTAGCTCTGATTCAAAGTTTCAAAAAGTCAATGCTATCCTTTATAAAACTTGAGTACATGAACGAAAAAATAAAAATAATAAAAATTTCAAATTTATAGCAACTTATGACTTTGTACATTATGTATGGTGTGAGAAGCAACAAAATAAACGAACCTATCAAACTTCGTATCNGATAATAAAGAGTAAAAACATAATTATAATGATAACAATAACAATAGATAATAATAATAATAATGGTATATAAAAAAAAAAAATTCAATTCAATTAAAATGATGATAATAATAATAATGAAAGATATCAGTAGGCAAGACACTAGAGGCACAGTTAAGGTGGCTCACCATAACCGGGGACTGTACAGGTACAGTGTGAATAATTGCAGTGGGTGGCGGATCGTAGTGCTCCTGGCAGAGGGAAGGGAGGGTGCGCATTATTTCGGACGGAGTGAGCACTCGAATCTGGTGGTCTACCGAGGAGAATTGCCGAGTGGCTTGGGCCAGGCCACCGCCACCGCTCGGGGAGATCTGATGCTGACCACCGCTACCGGACATTTGCGTTGTCGCCACCGCTGCCGTCGATTGAGGTGCTGCGGGTGTCATGGTGGTGGTGGTTGTGGTTGTGGTAATAGTGGCAGTGATTATTGTTGTACGCGGACTGGATGATGGTGGCGGTGGTTGTACTTGGGACTGATGGGGTTGCTGCTGCGAATAATGACGTGGTGGGGATGTCTCATGGTGGCACTGGCTCTCGCCGGCGCCTATAGTTGCCTCGTAGCAAGAAGAGGATGAAGATGAGGAAGAGGAGCAAGAAGAAGAGGAAGAAAAAGATGATGAAGAAGACGACGACGATGACGACGACGACGAAGACGACGACGACGACGACGAGGACGACGATGAAGTTGAAAGAGAAGCAGTATTATGATGGTTGTGGATATTACTGGTGAGGGTCAAAGGGGGTCGGGGTGAGCAAGAAGGTGGCGTGGAAATGGGGGACAAGTTTGGAGAACGAGATGTTAGCCGCCGCTGCGCCAGGCCTCCCTGCACCGCACACACCTCAGGCTGGCTTGACTGGATCGGGGAGACTGTTGCAGCTGCCGCCGCCGCCGCCGCTGCTGCTGCCGTCTGAGCTGCCGCTGCTATCACTGCCGTGGCTACGACCTGTGCCGCGTTTGAGCCCAACTCTCCAGTTTTACTATCTGGTTGTTGTTGTTGTTGCTGTTGCTGTTTGCCTTTGCCGGATTGTTGTTGTTGTTGTTGTTGCTGATCTACCAGCAAGTTGGCAGCAGGTTTTTGGCTTGTTGCCATCACAACTACTGGTGCTTTCGTCAGGATACGAGCAGACGTCCCGACTGCCAAAGTTGCTGCCGCTGCAGCTGGTTTTGCACCTGCTAGCTCCTTCGGTATCTGTTGGAGTCAACGGCCACCAACGGCTTCACATATCCCATCGATTTTTTTTTTTTTTTTTTTTTTTTTTCTCTCGTAAGTGCGCCAGAGCTATGATTTCGCAAAAGTGATCTATCCAACGGGATACTATGCGTCACGAGTAATCGTGGGCTCATAAAGTACCACTTTGTTTTTACAATAAAAAAGGGTCTGTACTTTTACTGTGTAGCAAGTCACGCATTGTATGTATGAAATGAAGGGATTTTTGTCTCTCTTTTTTTAATCTATCGGCTGGTGTTTGCGTTAGTGTAATGGCAAATACGATTGTGTGAAAATTTTTAAACAGATTGTAAGTATTAGTTATGTTAAACATATAGGGTAACAGCGTCGTGATTTATGTCATTCTCAAACAATGGTGAAAATCAGCAGTGTTTAACAAAAATTTCGTTTTCTCATGATAATAATTTTAACACGAAATCACCAGCCTTCCTATCAGGGCTATACTTAAAAACATATTAAGCGTCTGACAATTTGTTAGTTTGTTTGTTAGCAACAAGACACCCTCGATAATGAATATGACTGCATTTCATGGAGTAGAAAAATAATGTCACCAAATTTTTTTTTTTTTTGAGTAGAGACATTGAATAAACATTTAGAAAAGTGATTGAACGAGAAAATAAGACAGCGTTACCTGTTGTGTCTTCTTCATGCGGACTGCAGTTCTATTTTCACGGGCCTGGTTTACAAAGTGTGTCTTTGTCTCCGCTGACAGTGTACGCCACTTTTTCATGATTTGCTTATAACGATCTGGCCAATCTATAATAAAGGGAAAATTTTGTCAAATCTAGTTGTTTTACACGATTAAAAGTTCAAGTATCGTAAAAATTACGTGGATAATCAATTTTTAATTCCGGATGATGCATGTTACAATATAACACTGAAGCCGTTGTTGCTTGAGAGCCCAACAGTTCATCAGCTTCCCATTTTATGCTAGTTCTTTGGTTATAGGGGACAGTTACTGGACTAGCGGCTGGAACGTTACTTTCGTCTTCTTGTGTAACCCAAGGACTGGGTGGTTCTGAAAAAGCTGGGCTGAACTGAGGGCTACTGTAATAAAAAAAAGAAAAAAAAAGAAGAAAACATTATATTACAAAATTTTGAAGCAGAACAATATGTTGAAAAAAAAATTTTCCTCCTTGTTACTTACTTGCTATATTCCGAATGGTAGGGCGATGGCGGTGGAAAACTCATTGGAGAATTAAGATTCGACTGACCAACAGACGGCAGATTAGATGGTACTTGCGGCCTTCCCAGTGGCAAATTAGCTGGTTGAATATTTGCTGAAATATTTTGTAAAAGTAAATAATTGATTCTAATTGCTGATAGAGTATACATAAGTTAATAAAGTAATAAGTGAATACAAACCTGTGTGAGGAGATGGAGATACCAAGGGAGTAGAGGAAGACGGCGTTTGTGGGGTTTGAGCTTGCACAGGATATCCGCACGATTCTCGAGACTCCTGAGACTCGTCTGTGAGAACTTTGTTGAATATTTCTTCCACATCTTGGCCAGCCATGTTGGGTAGTTCTAAAAAATAATAAACAATTATTCATTAAAATTGAGTAAAAAATTGAAAGTTTAAAATTTAATGTAGCACGGTTTATTGAAGTACCTGTCTCTCGGACCATGGACTCGATGTTAAAGTGTGGACTTAGAATATCGCGCAGCTCTTCCTTGGTAGACTCCGGAGCCTGATCTAGTTCGTCCCAAGCCTCGGTAGCTTTTGCGAGATCCTCGTCTTGTTCACTCATAATAGTATTGACAAGTTCACTGTCGATCAGATCACTTGACATGGGAAGGATGTCGTCAAGAGGTTCCGTATCACTGACTTCCTCCTTCACGGCTTCCTCTTGCTTGATTCGCACTTCGGTTGAATTAACATCCATGCCTCCACCGGAGACTGCAGGAGTGCCAGTCTGCGGCTGTTCTTCTCTTTTAGCTTTGACCTGCTCCATGGCCTTGAGCTCGTCGCAAGACAATTGTATCGTGTTGGCGTTGGCCGGTGCAGTACGCTCAGCTTCGGAATCACTACTGCTCCCGTCCAGATCCTTATCTTTGGTCGTATCCATGAGGTCCCGGCCAAAAAAGGCCTCCTGCATGTAGATGGGGAAGCACTCGGCGAGCTTCGTCTTTGGTTTCCGGCGCACGGGTTTGCGCCTTGGTTTCTCGTCCAGTAAGCTGTCGCTGATTCCCGGAGCCTCTGGCTCGTCGTCTTTGTCCTTGCGCGTGCCACGCAACCGAACGACGAAGCCGCCGATCCCGAGTTTTTGTAGGTTGCGCTGGCGCTTGCGCCGCAATACTGTCACGCCGCTCTCGGTCGTGTAGATGCTGAAGCCATCGGGCGCCGGCTGCTCGGGTGGCCAGACCATACCCTCTTTGTACACCTGGGCGGGCTCGTCGAGTTTGCCGTCCGCGGGCGCGCCGCCGCCGGCCTCCTCGAGGCTGCCCCCGGCCACCACCGACTCAATAGTCGCCATGATGTCGGCGTCCTTGTCGACGACAGGCGCGAACTTGCGCCTCTTTTTCCGAGTTATCTGGTTCTCGGACATTAGCGACTTGATGTGATTCATGCCTGCCTCTGACAAGGAGACACCCTCGACCAGGTACTGTTGAGACGCTGGCTTCTCTATCTCGGGGCTTTGGATGACCGGCGGAGGCGGTGAGCGCGCTGGCGTCGGATACTTGCACGGCAGCGCTTTAACCTGACTGCTCAGGATGTGTGGGGGCGGTAACTCACGGGGCCGACACAGTAGGCAATTGTAGCCATCCTCGGCGCACTTTTCGGCATCGGTTTCACTCTTGATCGAGTCGCACTGGCAGTGCAACCATCGCGCACAATTCGCGCACTGAATGATCAGGTCGCCCTCGTTATATGGCTCGGTACACACGGCGCAGTGAATGTGCGAGGCACACGGGCCACACTGCGTGTAGTTCTTCTGCCAAACGCTGTTTACGCCTGGCTGGTCGGAGCCGCATGTCTGGCATTGGGCGCACCATTTGCACTTCCACGTGCCCTGCGGCACGTGTTCCAGTGGCGGATCGATGCAGTATATGTGATAGCTGATATCACAATCGTCGCAAAGAATCAGTCGGCCCTCGTCGTTGCGTTCGCCGCAACCTTCGCAAACCGTGCAGTCGAGGCAACGCCAGCCTTTTTGCAATATTACTTTGGTCACCTTCACGTTGGCGCAGTACGGATGGTAACACTGTCCACACTGAGCACAGGCAATCAGGCAGCCCTCCTGATCTGTTCCTATCGCACCGCACATTACACATATGTCCTGCGATAGCGTGAATGAGTCATTTGAAGAGCACAACACTAGGCGATTTTCAACGCCAGGTTCTTCTTCCTTGGAAAATGAGTCCGACGTTGGCCTCTGCAAATGCAAACAACGATGTTTAAAAAAAAAAATAATAATAATAATAATAGACGAGTAAAAATAAAAGTCAAGAGCAAGTACAATGAAATTGTAGTAATTTTATATTTATAGATTAAAAATATTACAATACCTGTAGCCCCAAACCGGGAACTCCGAAAATTCCTCGCATTTTGGCTTTGGGGCCTCTTTTTCGCCCGAATTCCGTCATTTTTTGTCTCTTCTGGTAACCACCCACCTTTCCTACACCTTTTGGTCGTCCGACCAAGCCTCCGCCGAGGCCCAGTCTTTTTTTAGCAATTTTTGAGGCACAAAAAGGCTTTCCTTTTCCTAATCCTATCGAGTAATAACCATCTTCCGAGTTGGCTGGATAGTCGAACTCCGAAGAATCCCCGTCACCATACAAGCTCTCTTGGGATGCAGTCAAACTGGACTCGCCAGCATAATCATCGACACTGTCCTTTCGCTTGACTAAGGCGAGACTCTTGCAATGAAGACAAACATAATCGCATTCTGATTTAGCCTCCTTACGATTTTGATAAGTAATAGAATCAGCAGCCTCAGGATCGCAACTGCCATGTACAAATTTTTTACATGAACTGCACTGTACCATATCCCTGTAAGCAGCAGCGCGATAAGCTTTTCTGCATAATGGACATGAGAAGCCTTTGTTACGCTGCTGATAACACGAATCGCAAATCGTGTAATTGGAATGCCAACGTGACGACAAACCGGCACCAGGAGTCCGTGAGCCACAATCACTACATTCCCGACAACACTTACACTTCCAACCGTATTTTGGTATAGAAGTCACTATTGGCCTCAAGCAACTCGGATGATAAGCTTTTTCACATTTTTCACATACCATTTTTGCCGAATCATCATGCAACCGGCATACTTGACACAGACGACAGCTTTTGCATTGCCATCCAGCTCGAGCGTTTGCTATTAAGGCCAGCCCTATGCAGTTACCATGATAATGTTGCCCGCACACCGAACACATCACCAAATTTGAAACATCACCCATTCCGTAGCACATCATACACTTTATCCTGTCTCCGTCTTCGTTCACTGTAACAAATATGACATTTTGTTTGGTTTTTTTTTTCATTTACAACTATTGTGCGTCGTGTTTATTTAATTAATAGACTCACGTAAGAGAGGAACTTGTAGTACATGTTGACTACAAAATAATGACAAACTTTTTGTGTCTTGAAAACAACCAGATGCTGCTGCACAGGGAAAATGAAAGTAACGAATACACGATTGCACCTAGAAAAAAAAAATGTTTTCAAGTTATTTTTTGAAATGTGTGAGCCAACGGATGTTTATGGATATTTCATTATTACTTTGCAGGATAATCCTGCCCCATAACGCGAACACGCGACACAACGACGCATGGAAGCTTGAATGATAGCCAAACTGACAACTTCTGTAGATATTTCTTGGCTACAGCTTGTCCAAAGAGCGCACTTTTGATGAACGTAATAATGACCCGTAGATTCAAAAACTATACTTAAATCGGGTTTATCCAAGTAACCTACTTTAGGTAGTTCTTCTATAGGCTCTGAAAAACTTGTAAGACTAGGATTTCTGAAAAAATCCATAATAATTAGAAAACGCTTTTCATTGATTAAACGATGCATTAAAAAATGAAGGGTAAAGAAAATCATAATGCATACCTGCACTTAGATAAACTTTTTTGTCGCCGACACGTAACAGCCAAAGAACTGTTACTCGTTCGTGGACTTTTGTCGCCACTTACAGGCACATCAACAAGACATTCTGGTGATTTTTCGTGTTCTATACTTTTTTCCGGGGTAAAACCTTCAGGTATGACGAATTTTAAGAGTTCTCCCTGACCCAGCTGACTTCTTTCGCTTAAATTACACAGAGCACAAACTTTTCCTGGCCTAAAATTATACATCAGTAGTAGTTACAGTTGACTTAATAATGCGATATAAAATGTACATCTAATGCAATACCATTGCTCCGGAAAGTATGGAGGTTCTTCTGGTGCTGGCATAGCTCTTTCGAGCCCAGAAGAGTCTCCATCGAGCGATGGATCATCTCCGATTCTAAGAGGACTTGGTGACTCCGAATGCGTATCGTCATCTTTACTCTTTGTACGTCTAGGCACTCCTCTCCCATAGCCAAATCTATTTGAACAATGTTAAAATATTATTAGTATCAACATTAATATTATTCTTATTATTTGAGCGCAGTATAGAAAATACGTACCCTTTCCCTCTTGCTGAGCCTCTACCAAAACCTCGACGAATACCGCTACCACGAGGACGTTCTCCAAGGGGGCGTTCTCCAAGAGGACGTTCTTTTCTCGGCCGCCCTGGACCACGTCTTATGTGTAACGGTTTTCCACCGGGTAGAGGAAATTTTGAATACCGCAGAGGGTCATGATAAACCTCTGGAGTGACTGAAAACGTACAATTTTTTTGCTTAAAAAAAAACTTTATCCATTGTTTAGCTTATATAATATTTGTAAGTGACATACTGCTGTAAACGTCGCGTGAGTCGATGTTTGAGCCCTCTGCATGAAAATTAAGAGACGGATTTGTGTTGGAAGTTGGCGTGAGGCTAAGCAAATGGTCCGAGTTTGCAGGAGACACGGGGATGCCGGGGTTCTCTTCATCTTCGTCCTCACCATCTGAAGCTTCATCGAGCTCCATTTCCTCCTCCCCTTCCAGTCGCTCATCATCATCCATGGCACTTTCTTCTCACGTCAAGAATCGTACCTGAAACGGATAAATAACTATATAAAATTTGCGATATGCTTTGTAGTTATATTAATTGTATGTTGATATTGTTTCGTAGCTATCAGAGCGCCAACCGATTCACGCGGTATAAATACGTACAATGTGTTTATTATTATTATTATTATAATAGTTTTGTATATCGCTGTATTTATTTGTGTGATTAGACTATGCCCAAGTACTGAAGTACATAAATAAATAAAATAAACAAGCGTAGCAGGAGAGAAGTATTAGCTTTAATCTTTTTTTTTTTTTTTTCAACAGAGCACGTATTCATCTATGAAGCATTTTGCATCGGTTTGAAAACAACAATAAGCAAAATATGACTTTTTATTTGAATCGTGTACTCGCATTTTGTGTCAAGTCAAGACTGATTGTTTAACGGAAGCATCAGGCAACGGAATAGCCGGAAGTGAAAGAAACCAGTAGCAAATTAGTTTTTATGACGCACGCGTTTAACCGATCGTTTGTTTGGAGTAAAAAAGTAAGAAATAACAAAGCCCACTACCGCTGGTTCAGGCGGTACCCAGCAACAGTATCGGGGCACATAAGGATGATAATTACATGGAGGTAACTAAACGCGCGTCGCGCTGCTCCGAAATGCCACAGCAGCCGCTCACGCGCAGGAGGTCTAAATTATTGGTTTTGTTGCGATTCCAAGCCCTGTTCCTCTGGTAAGCCAAAAAAATTGCCGACAGCATATAAATAATTAATGCGCTTCGGAAAGAAGGAACATCTTTTTCTCGAGGAGCAGACGGCATTGACGGCAACAACCGCACCCGCGAGCTTCATAGGAACACATATAGGCACCACATTCGGGCGGAGGCGCGGGGGCGGTGTAGCTGTCGGACTATACCTACCGATGCGCGACTGGTAAGAGAACGAGGAATTTCGGGGGCGCCTGGATCATAATATACGCGGCTAACGCGACGGATATCTATTGATAATACAACAATAAAATATTAATACCTCATGTTGTGGTCAAATAATACATAACACACAGTTTACCGGCCGCGTCATATGAGCTCCGCGCTCCGATTCGAGGGGCATATATATATATATATAAGTGTGTAAGCGTATGGTGTGTATATATTCTTCTTGTATACGTATATATAAGTACCTGTGGCGTCTACTGCTGCTGCTGATGGTGCTGCTGTTGCCTCCTCGATGGCCGCATGGCCGACGAGTAGCGCGTCCAACGGTCTGGCTGCTGCTGGTTAGCGAGCATCGTTCACCAGACAGTTCAAAGCGTCGACGGTATTTACCGATGCTACTGCCTGCGCTCGCCAGGTCGTCCTCTCTATCCTCACCCTCGTGAGAACGAGGATGATGTAGTTCGTTGCTGAAGGTATCTGCTGCCACTAAACGCTCCGCTGCACGCGGCCAGCCATCAGACAATTAAGGTGGTGTGCACAGTGTGTATATATAGAGGTTGTTGGAGACAGTATAATGTATACACTGATGGCTGGCAGCAACTCCGGTTAGGTCGTCCGAGTCGTTTGTGGTATGGCTTGTACCTATGGATGATGATGATAAGTCCTGGTGAGGGGACGACGACGACGATGTCCGCGTGTGTACACTTGGTGTAGATTCTTTGGCAGTACAGCGCGCTGCATGCCACACACTCAAGTTGTGCAGAGTATAACTCTCTCTGCTTTAGGCCCGCACCCCTGCGCGAACACACACTATTCACACACAAGACAACAACATCAACAACAAATAATAACAATAATCGGCTGTACCAAGCAGACTTCGCGCTCTGCTCCGATTTTCGAGCTTCAATAAGCTCCTGCTCTCCTCTCCGCTGCGGTGCCAGGCGGTGCTGCGTCCACATACGCGCACAGCCCGACGAACGTCTCTCTCTCTCTCTCTTCCCTATTTCCAACCCGTTTGCCCTAGCTCACCCAATCCGGCCCTTTTTCCCTTCCGTCTCGCGCGCGCAAAGCCAATTCCTGCAAGTAATCCGCTTTTCTTGCACTATCCGCGAATCGAACTCTATGCCCTATTCTATCAATAGTTTAATCGTGTAAATAATACGTGAATTTTTTTTTTTTTTTTTTTCCATTTACTTAGCAACAATAATGAGCTATCATGATATTTTGTGCTTTAATTATGTAATAAAGTGAGTTGAAGTTGGACGTTTTTTAGGGGCCCACCCTGAACCCTCCTTGAATCCCGACCAATGGCATCATGTGTGGTGTGCCACATACACACACTACTATGTTTAACAAGCGGGGTTTTCAAAAGTTTCAATTAAAAAATGTAAAGGAGGTTCAACAACCATGTGTTAACTTTGTACTCTCTCAAGAAATAAGTACATCATACTTTTATTACAAATAGACATTTTTATTTTTTACATATTTGTACAAAATCTTACAAAAGTTAATTGAAAATTTCACAGTTGAAACTCAATTCTTGTCTTACTTCTCGCTTCAATGCGCTAAGAGTTTCCATGGTGAGTTTGTTATCTTGTATTAGGTTTTGTAAAACTACCAATTTGTACTTGATAAAATTTTCATTTTCTTGACTCAACTTAATTCTGTTGTTTTTCGAGGGTGGAGGATCTTTGATGTAATTTTTAATCAAACACCATATCTTTCCGTCATTTTTGTAAGTTATAAGATCAGTCGTGGTGTACAATTTGGAAGATAAATTTGGCACACTAACAGGCATTTCTACAACAGTATCACAGTTTTTTATGTGTTTCATGGAAAAAATTGACCTTTCTTTGCTTTTCAACATCTTCACAACAATAGAATTTTCAGGTAAAACTTTTTTAAAATTAGACAACAGGAATGTTTGATTCGCAATTCTTTCCACAGATTCCTTTGGGCAGTACTTGATGTGTTGCTTGGTCACAAATAAATTTATTCTCTGCAACACGTTTTCTCTGTCCACAACTTCTTTTCTTAATTTTTGCAACTCCATTGACTTATCGCATATGTCCCCAATGATTCGCTCAAGGCCCTTTAGCATACCTGGTTCTAATTTTATATATTCATTGTGACATTGATTGTATGTAGTTGTCAATAAGTCTATAGGTATTTGAATAAGTTCTTGATTTTTCAAATAAATAATGAATTTAGACCCGTGAAACCTGAAGCTTTCATAAAATTTTTCCTCTATTTTTGTTTCTTGACCAGAGTTTCTACCAAATGATTTTTTTGTGTAATAAGTCTTTTGCCCATCCGAGTGCACAAAAAATAATGTATCATCAAGACTCAGATCCATTGTAACACATAACTTATCAACACTTGATCGCAGAAATACTTTTTCATACTTCAGCTTGTCCTCGACAATATGCATTAAAATTATTAGATTCCCATCAACTTGCAATACAGCGCCAATTATTTTTTCTTGCTTCATAATGGGCTCGATCGACTTAATGATATAATCACAGGTATAAATTATCTGAGCAATTTGATTGGACATCTTGAATAAATTTTTATCATGAGCAATAATACACAAATGAACATTGTCTGTATAACTGTCAGACAATAGGGCTTTGCGTAAAATTTTATCAGTCTTGTCGAAATTGAGCGGAAGTACATGCACATTACTTGTTGAAGACAATGAAAACAAACTACTCAAGCTTTTAAGCTTCTTATTTTCCAACACAAGCACACCACTGTTTGGTATGAGAACCTCACAAAAGTCTGAGCCCAGCTCAATTCCAGACTTGCTCAGTGCAGCAAACTCGAAATTCTCTGTGAGCTTATGAATGCCATTGGGATAACAGATCATAAAGACCCTTTTGTTAAAGCCGCGAATGGCTTTAATATCAGCAGGCGCTTTGAAAACCTTGAGTTTCTCAGTTGAATTTTCGTAGGTGTAGGGAAAACACACAAAGTCACTTCCTTCCCAAACAAAACATACATTTTTGCCGTAGAAATCAACAATCAAGAAATTTTTCGGAGTAAAACTCTCTGAACTGATATCTAGATACATTTTTTTTTTTGTTAAACTCAAATCAAAAACAATTCTACAAAACTGTTGTCTATCACTTTGTCAAACACTTGCGCAAGTTGTAACATGTTTTTGTTTGGTGCTCTAGTTTACCGGTATAACTGCGTTAACCTCTCCTATTATTAATATGCAATTAAATTTACACCAAAGATGTTAATACGAAGCACATAAAATAGGTGCACGTTACACTCGTGTCTTATGTCACTCTTCATTGCAACATTTGCAACAGGCAGCGAGGCAGCATAATCAGCGCATGTAAAGCTGCAATGCTTCAAGCTAGCATGTCACGATAAATGTAGATGTGTTCTATATTTGGGTACAGTACCAGAATAAAAGTTTTAATAGTCGGGGTTAGACTTATAGACTAGGTGTTCCATAAACAAGGAGGGAAAAAATATGTTTTTGGGTTTTTGCGAAAATGAGGTTGATGTGCCATAAAAATATTCAATAGTATCATTTATTCGAATCAATCCACATAATGTCAATATATTGATATTAAAAAGCAACATTAATAATTTTACAATTAATGATAAAAGTCATCTGTACATTTATTCAAATTACTTGGTCAGTTTTAGGAAAGTTTTTTCACAATCTCACTTTACAAATAGAGTATAAAAAAATTCGTTGTATTTTTTTTCTTTAATTTTATTTAGGAATAGGCAAATTAGAAAAATACTTCACAGCATCTACTGCTGAAGAGAATACTAAATTATATACAGGATGTATCGTCTTAAGAGCATTAATATTTTGTGGTCCAATGATAACTGGTCTTGGAGAATTTTGCGCTACAGATAGTCCGCTTAATCCATAACATGTGTGGTATATGTCACAACTCCTGTAAGTAAAAAATGTTCAGCGTGAATTTGCATTAATATTGTCTGAATCATGTAAATGTAATATTTTATACTTTTTTGGTTTGTCTAATAATCCACCTATAGGGTGTTGACAACAAATTAGTAAGTACTCTTGAAGAGCTGCTTGATTGAATAACCAATTATCAAGTATGACATTTTTTTCCTTGGCTAAAAGTGTTTGTATTAAAGGAAATGCTCCTCCTTGCCAAAAAGAATAACAACCATCAACTAGTTTATTCGTGCGTCCTTGAAAACCTCCTTCGAGTCGCATCTGCCGATTAACTATCCAGCGCTATAATTTTTATCAAAATATTTTTTACACTCTCATGCTTGTGAAGAATCGATAAAAAAATATGATAAAAAAGTAGTAATTTTACTGTAAATGCAGGTAAATTAAAAACTTCTGTTTTTCCCAGTAAAACGAGTGCAGCCAATCCACAGTAAGCATAGCCACCATGCGCCTCCATGCCTGGACAACCGCTAAATCCACCTTCCCAGTTTTGACATTTAGCTATCCATTTTTCTGAGTTTTCAAACAGCTCTGGGGTGTATACATTTGTCAGCTTTGCCACGACCAAAGCACAGTACACACCTCTTATGTCTATTTCACCATCTTTATGCATGCAAAAACTTCCATCAGCATTGTGCAGTGATTTTAAAAATTTTTGAAGTGCTGGTCTAAAATAATGTAAATTATTTACAATTTTAAAAAATCATCAAAAACGTGTTAATCGATTCTCACCTATTAATGACGTTGTATGCCTCTTCTGTGCCAATACAACAAAGAGCATTGATTGCTGCATAGCTGGAAGCTAAATGGGAATATTGCCCTGGTCCACCTCCAAAACCTCCTTCCGCATCTTGACATCTGGATAAAAAGTTAACTATCTTTGAATAATCCTCGTCTTCTAAAGTTACACCGAGAATTTGGAGTGAGTGAAGAATCCAATAGCATAACCATGGCCTACTCGAATCTAAACACTGCATAGGCAAATAAAAAAATAAAAAACGTTTTTTTCAACTATTGGTATGATCAGCATAAATTAATTATCAAACAAAACGTACTTCATAATTTTTAGATAAATGAGTTAATGAATCCTTTAAAAAACTGATGTGTCGAAATTTATTTAAAACAGGCTCTTTATTTAGTTTAAACAGTTTAAGCACATTTTCCTCAACTTGATCCTGAAAAATGAAAATTAATAGAAAAACTACAATTTCTGTTTTAATATGGGATAAATAATACACACTTGTTCTCTGGAGGTATCAGTTTCATGTTCCGCATGTTGTTTTTCTTTTAACACATCTACGTAACTTCTGACATTAACTTTTTCATCGTAATCATCAAATTCATTGTCAGACATGATCTATAGCAATATTAACAATAAAATTTTTATAACACACAACAATGTTGTGGCGTCTCTTACCTGTGTGTATTATATTTTTGGTGTATACATAATCTAATAATTCAAATTCGTAGTAACAAAAACCAAGTGGAAATTACACTCCGAGAAAGTACATGTACGCATATGTAAGGACATAATTATAAGAGTTTTTAGCTTTACAAAAAGAAATAGATATTCATCAGGTGCGTGCAATTGTTGATCATCAGCAGCACTTCACATAACCAACCAAATCAGCTGATATAAATTTGCTCCGAAATAATAAAGTAGACGTATATAGCTATATATAAGTACATTGGGTTATTTTGGAGTTGCCCGATAAGCACCTATATTTGTCACACGCGCGCAGTCCCGCAAAATTCACCTTACCGTTTGTTCACGTGCGTGAACTCTACTGTATAGAAAAATTGTAAGTCAACATGATCTATATAGAGTAGAAACCAAACGTTACGATGTACTACACATCGTTGAAAGTGCAAATTAAAAGTCGATTCGATTCTTCTGTATATTTTATTTCACAACTTGTATCGCTTCATTCTCGCGAAGCAAGGTTAGAATCTCAGTAATAGATTATCTCTACAGAATAATAATATAAAGTAAATAATTTCTAAAAAAATCACTATGTTTTGGTGACTACAGGCTGTGAAAATCAGAACGAAATCATGGCCAAATACTTGGCACAGATAATCGTGCTGGGCTCGCAAATGGTGGGTAGAGCATTTGCCAGAGCATTGAAGCAGGAGATAGCAGCCAGCCAGGAAGCCGCCAAGAGAGCAGGTGGTGGACAACAAGGCTCGCAGAGAGTGGCTGCTAATACTAAGAGTGGCATCACATTGGACGAGGCCCTGAAGATCCTGAATGCCGATAAACTAGAGCAAACCGAGGTGATTGAACGCAACTACAAGTACCTGATGGATGCCAACGACAGGACAAAAGGAGGTTCTTTTTACATACAGTCTAAAGTTTTTAGAGCTAAGGAGCGCATTGATGAGGAATTAAAAAGTATGGGAAAAGCCCCACCACCTGAAGAAGCAGAGACTCCCAAAAGTCGTTCAGCATCCGCTCACTGACATTTTGGATTTTCTCTAGTTTAAAATATGTAAATTATTTAAATAGCTTTTTCTGTACATACTTTTTCATCCAACCGTTAGCTTTAACAAGTGACTTTTACTGTAGACCTATAACTTTGTTGATTATTATATAATTACCCACCTGTACATTGTACAAAAATATAGGATTTTTTGTGGAAAGTAGAAATTTTTGAGTAAATACACCTTTAAAGTGCGAAAAAACAAGTGAAATTTAAATTTATTCACCAATAAATATAAATTCTATACAAATATGTACATTACACAATCTTGCAAAAAAAAAATGAGTACACGCTCTTATACGTGTACTTATTTAAGTTGAAAAATTAATTTAATCACAGTAACGGTCTTGGCCACCATTATTATTTGATGCCAGCTAAAATCGCATCTTTGGGTTCTATTCTACTTTCGTCGTAACGAATATTCAAGCGCTCCTGATTGTGACTAACGGACCACAATTCTGGCAAGTACTTAGGTTTCATGGTCTTTAGGAAGTGTTCTCTCCATAATTTTTCCAGTTCCATGAGGCCACCCCCTCTATTTTTAAAATACTCGACCACCTGCAATTCAGAGTCAAAATCAAACTCACAGTCTTATTAACAATAAAAAAAAAAATTACTCCATAAATACCTTGGGACCATGTAGCAGAGTTCTTTTCGTAGGATCCGTATGATTAGCTCTGTAAAGTGGTTCCTTCATTAATTGTTCGTGCAAGCAATGGAGCATTTCGGGAGTGACTACCGGATAACCAGTCCATGCTAAAACCAGCGCCTCCAACTCTTGCCTCCTCGCCAAAGGTATCGTGGTTTTAGAATCTCTCAACACTTTTACCGCTGTTTTGAGCAGCTTCAATTTCGGCGGAATTTCGTTGCGGGACGATGCCATTGTCTCTGCAAGCAACGGTGCGTCGCACTTTTCCGCGAGCTCCCGCCTGAGCTGCAAGTCGTAAAAGTTGCTGTTTTGATGACAGGTCGGACACAACAGCAATATATCGTGCGATTGATGCGATTTCATCACAACTGAAATTGAAAGTTACAGTTTTTTTCTTTTTTATTACAAAATTTCCCTGCTTTTAAGTTTGAAGAGGAAGTACGCCCACAGGTGTAGATAATGACATTCAAAGAGATTACTTACTTGGGAAGTACTTGCGGTATTCCCTCGGGACAACGTTCTTCCTGACAAATTTGTCCGAGGTTCCGCACACCACGCACTGATTTTTTTTCACTTGCGTATAATATCGGCCGACTTCGCCCAGAGCCCGTCCGGACGGCTCGAACTTCAGCCTTATGGTGAACGGATCCTCCTGAACGACATCGCCCAGCTGCTTGAACACGTACCACTCGGCCTTTTTTTTATCGCACGTACACAATATTTCACCGTCCGGCGCTTGCAAATAGCAATTATGGTACAGCGGCTTGCTTCTCACTGGTATACTGTTGCTCTTTAACTTATTGTTACTAATACTAATTAATTGGCCATTTTTACTATCAACCGTACTATCAACTTTATTTATTGCAAGTAACGAACTGTCGTTTAAATTTTTGTACCTATAAGCAATTAAAATTGAATGAGATATGTCTGTATGTTTATATACTTATAGTGCAATCACGATTTATATAATCACCTTGCGTCGATTACACCGGGGGGTAAACCAAATGAGTCCGCATCGATGTTCCTCGTGTGGATGCGGTAAAGGTACTGTTTCACCAAAGCCTTACAACTTTCCCACAAAGTGCGCTTTTGCTTCACCTTCTTCAATATCTATGGATAAAACACGCTAATATACTAATTGTGCACAGTACACGAAAGAGTCCTATAAGTTTCACATTAACATTTTCCTTTTATAAGAATAAAAAAAAAAAAAAGAAGCAAAATAAAATAAAACAAGCATATCAAGCAACATACCTCGTGATAAATGAGAACGGAGACCAAGGCATCGGTAGCGGCGTAGGCGATCTGTTCGTCAGCAAGACGCTCGGCGTTCCAGTCGCCGCACCTCACTTCGGGGGCCTTGTCCATCTCGATGCCCAGGTAGTGGACACAGAACCCAGCCAGACTCCTCGGACTCGTCAAGCCCAGCCGATTGGCCAAGTTGCGCAGATCCACGCTTCCCAGGACTTGGCACTTGTAATCCTTGGCTATCCGACGGCCGTCCTCGCCCGATCCTACTCCGACCTTCAGCAGTTCCCGGCTCGCCAGCAACTCCTACAATTATTATTATTACGGCGTTTCAATAATTTTCATGTTCTTTTTTTTCTTTTACTTTCTGCACAAACGTAAGATTCGCCATTGAAGTGTCTACTACTCATCGTTGTTTAGATATTTAAATTCAAATTTTGGAGCTGACAAATACCGTTAACAAGTGGTTTGTTGTTACTGATGCGATCATTACGTGAGCAGTCGAAATAAAAATACGGTGACAACGGTAAACATTTCGCAACAAATTTCACATGTATATAGGTATACGTGTGCCATGTTACATATATTTACCTTGAGTCCTTGGGGAATGTGTCCAATTTTATTGAGGCGAAACAGGGCGCAAACACCGTTGCGAGTGGCGAGCTGCAGCAACGAGACGGGGCCTTCGTTTACCCATTCGCAATCAAATCCCAAAACTCTGTCCGATGAATTGCTGAAGAATAAATGAAAAAACGCCGATGAATGTACATGCAATTGACAGTAAAAGTGCGAGGATGTGAACGTATAAGTATATATATATATATATATAAATATATATATATGTGTATGTACCAACGAATGCGTTGAACAGCGTACTCGCACAATTCAGGAGAATCGGCCAGGATAACATCCTTATTAAGCTCGAGTAGGAGCTTTTGCTGCGGCTGTTGATGTCGTTGCGTGGCAGGGGTATCCGGGTGGTTGTTGGCGCGCGTAGGAATCATCGAAACGGCGATGCCCTGGCACAGGCGCTTGACGCTCCGAAGCACGTTGTCGCGGTACCTGGAGGCCAACAGCGCAAGGCCCAACGTCACGCACACGCTGACTAACATGCTGCTGCTCTGCCGTGACTCGAGCATGTTTATTATTATTATTTTTTTTTTTTTTTTTTTTTTATATATGTATATTACAACGATCGACTTCAAATTTGTTTGTTTGAACTTTACAACGTGTATATTTTACAGGGAACGACACGGCCGCTTAGGTAAATGTGTGATCGTACCTCTTTATGTTTTTTAAATAAATTTATTCGACACTTTTAACGATTATGTTGTACATGAGAAATAACGCACAAAATTTTGGTACGCGGCTTTCAATTTTTTTATAATTAAGGACTCTGCATACACACCGACGACGGTTATACTCATTAACTTTGCACTAAACGCGATAAGTACTTGAATTAAAACGTATGTACTTATTATTACAATTATGACAAAAAAACACAAAAAAAAACACTACTAGATACACAAAATTTATTAATACTGTATTGTTGATTTAATTTAGATATTAATCAGTATGAAAGGTCTCTCCCATTTGTATATAGCACTTTGAGAGACGCAATTCAAGTTTCAGACGTTGTACGAGTGATTGTATTGTTATAAATCAGTATCATTTCGGTTTCGGAGCTTTTAAACCTTGCGATCATGTGAAGGAGTTCTTTTGGAAAACAAAAGGAATCGGAGAGGGATTGTAAGTGTGAGGACGATTTTGACAAAGTATATAATGATGATAAGAGGGCTATTGTGTATATTGTTATTGTAATATTATTTTATATGTATTCACTATATAAATATTTACCTCTTGACAAGTGTGACATACAACGTGTAGTGGTATAATACCTATCTGACGGGAGCATTAAGCCGCGTTCGAAAATAAGTTTTACAAGGTCTTGTTCTCATCGTTAGACACATAAGTACGGGAATACTCGGCTTCACGGTGTAAACTAAAACAAAAAAATTTTTTACCTTTTTTATTAATCATACAATTCTGACGATAGAATTAAGTATGTAGTAAAAACAATCAAATTTATAATTATTTCGTACATTTGATGACTTGATTGCGTACTGAAAAACAAATAGCTCAGTTGATTTTATCTATACCTCGAATATTTTTTTACAGTTCATTCAAGAAAAGGAGTGCAGAAATATGTCGGTCAAAATTAAATTAGAAATCTGAAAGTAAAAATTAAATTCCTCATTATTACGAGGCGCTCTTTTTTTCTTATGAGATTTGATTGAGAGAGAGCGTCCTGTAGCGGCTAGTGTGTCGACTGCAGCGATCGGTGGTCGTCGTCGGCTCTCTTATACAAGCGCAACCGTGGCCCTGCCCGGAAGAGAGCACGTTTTCACCGTTTGACAAGTGAGTGAAACTTTTAATAATCCCGTCATTCCTGAAACCAAAGACTTTATAGGCCGTCGAATTTGTAATCTGCTTATTTTTCGTATTCTTAGTACCAAAGGTTCGAAATAATGCTTATTTTTCGAGATCACCCAGTTTTCGCGTCTTCGTGTAACTTGGAAGTTTAGGTTAGAATTTAGGGAAAAGAAATCGGGCTAATACACCACCAGATGTGTTACTTAAAATATTTGTTTGCTCGACTTTTTTGTTGTTCTTCGGTTTATAGTTCATGCGTTTTAGTGTAATATCGTATATTTTTACGCTCTAAATTTCACTACACCGCTTAAAAGCAATTTTTCATTACTTTTTCATTGCACTGTTGGAATTACAGCTGTAGTTATGAAGTATGAACATTTAATTTTGAGACCTTTTTGTAATTTCTCATAGGGTGAAAAACGTAAATATTAGGCAAGATGCCACCAAAAAGGTCGACGGAAGAAACTGACAAGCTAACGCGAATCGCCATTGTCAACACAGACAAGTGCAAACCCAAAAGATGCAGGCAAGAGTGCAAAAAATCTTGCCCAGTAGTGCGAATGGGCAAGCTTTGCATTGAAGTCACACCGAACAATAAAATTGCCTCCATCTCTGAGGAGCTGTGTATTGGTTGTGGTATTTGCGTTAAGGTATACTCATTTTTTTTTTTCTTTAATAACTTTTACTAGTTGAAATGTAATTTGAACTTGACAGTTTTGATTTTAAATTTATCTATCATTACGCAATTGTGTCTACAGAAATGTCCATTTGAGGCGATATCAATAATCAATCTTCCAAGTAATTTGGAAAAGGAAACAACACATCGTTATTCCAAGAATTCATTCAAACTACACAGACTTCCAATACCACGTCCGGGAGAGGTGCTGGGACTTGTAGGAACCAATGGAATAGGAAAATCAACTGCATTGAAAATTTTGGCTGGCAAACAAAAACCTAATCTGGGAAGGTTTTCTGTAAGACTTTTTTCAAGAATTTATTTAATTCAAAACTTTTATAAACGTTTGAAATGCTTAATTTTTTAAATTCTAGGATCCCCCTGACTGGACGGAAATTCTTAGTCATTTTAGGGGTAGTGAATTGCAGAATTATTTTACGAAAATTCTAGAAGATGATTTAAAAGCTCTCATCAAGCCTCAGTACGTTGATCAGATTCCTAAAGCAGTTAAAGGAACTGTTCAGCAATTATTAGATAAAAAAGATGAAACTCTGAGTCAAGATAAAATCTGTGACATGTTGGGTTAGTATTGATGAATAAAAATTAAAAACAGTACTTTTCAATTATGCTATTAATATTAGACACGGTATTTTTGTACTTTATCTTAGGTATTGTATTTTGTACTAAATTGTAATTTCAATGAAATACTGGATTTCTGTTTATTCTCGTTGCAGATTTATCACACATAAAAGATAGAAGTATAGAGGCATTATCTGGAGGAGAATTGCAACGGTTTGCTTGTGCTATGGTATGCATTCAAGATGGACATATATTCATGTTTGATGAGCCATCATCTTATCTCGATGTTAAACAACGTTTGAATGCTGCTCAAACAATTAGATCTCTTATTCATCCGGACAAGTTAGTATCTTTCATATTATCATAATTATTTTTTGACATTATTTTTAAATTTACCTTGTTTTATCTTAAACATTATTTCAGGTTCATCATTGTAGTAGAACACGATCTGTCGGTTTTAGATTATCTTTCCGATTTCATTTGCTGTTTGTATGGGGTACCCGGTGCTTATGGAGTTGTTACTATGCCTTTCTCTGTGAGAGAAGGAATCAACATTTTCCTTGACGGGTTTGTTCCTACTGAAAATTTGCGTTTCCGCGAGGAATCCTTAGTGTTCAAGGTAGCGGAAAGTGCTACTGAAGAAGAAGTAAAGAGAATGAGTCACTATGAGTATCCTGCAATGAAAAAGACAATGGGTTCTTTCAAGTTAGAGGTTGAGAAGGGCCAATTCACGGACTCTGAAATTTTGGTTTTACTAGGCGAGAATGGTACTGGAAAAACTACTTTTATTAGAATGCTCGCTGGTAATTTACCGCCTGATGAGGGCTCAGGTATGTAAACATGTTTTATATCACACGTCCAGTAACATTACAAAATAACTGTTAGGATATTCGAAAGAAAATTAAAAAATTATTTTTTACAGGTAATATACCTCAATTGTACATTAGTTATAAGCCTCAGAAGATTAGTCCGAAATCCCAAGGTTTAGTTAGGCAATTGTTGCATGAAAAAATTCGGGATGCCTACATGCATCCGCAGTTCATTACTGATGCAATGAAACCTTTGAAAATCGATGATATCATCGATCAAGAGGTGCAGAATTTGTCTGGAGGTGAATTGCAACGTGTTGCATTAGCCCTGTGCTTAGGAAAAGTCGCAGATGTGTATTTAATTGATGAGCCGTCAGCTTATTTAGATTCTGAGCAGCGGTTGGTTGCAGCTAAAGTAATTAAGAGGTAATTGAATCCTATAAAATATTTCAGACATACATTTTAAATAACATAACAGTATATAACATTTAATTTTTATGCTTAGGTTTATTTTACATGCAAAGAAAACTGGCTTTGTAGTAGAACACGATTTCATTATGGCAACATACTTGGCTGATCGTGTCATTGTATTCTCTGGTCAGCCTTCTGTCGATACAGTTGCGCACAGTCCGCAATCGTTATTGAACGGCATGAATCGATTTTTGGAATTGCTTGGTATTACATTCAGACGAGATCCTAACAACTTTAGACCTCGAATAAACAAAGCTCAGTCTGTGAAGGTATTTGCGTGCTACTCACAATATTCGAAATATATTCGGTGATTTATTTATCTTGGTACCATTTTTTTTGTTGTTAATAGGACGTGGAACAAAAAAATGCAGGACAGTATTTCTTTTTGGAAGAGTAAAATATGCTGGAATACTTCTATGGAAGGATTTATCGAGTGCAGCTGTGCAAACACGGAGTTGCCTGAAAGTAACATACAACAAGTACATTTTTTACAATTCAATCATTTGATATAATTTTTTAAATACAATTTAAAAGGGGATTCTGTACGATAAATCAATGAATTTATTAAATGTTTTAAGATTTTAGCATAAGTCAATCAAATAAATACTCTGCCACCGATCTTTTTATTTGATTTTAAAACCACTCTTAGGTATACTTATTTTGTCGTTCATAAAATTTTTTCTTCAAATAATTGTGAAATCAAACTGGTTGTTTATTACGCGTAATTACTTATTGGTTTACAATAAATGGCTTCTAAAACTGTATTGAAATGAAAAATAAAAACTAAAGTCATTTTTAAATGGCAATTAGTTTATTTAAAAACAATATTAAAATATGATTAACAATATGATGCAAAAAAAAAAGTTGGAACTTAAACTCGCTTTAATTTCGTACTATATTGAATCGAATATACAGACAACAACTCGATAACAACTTTGCGAAATAAATATATTGTATAAAATACACATTTGAGAATATGAAAGATCTGATAATAGTGTCACGTAGATGTAAACAACTATAAACTGCAACTGGCTTGAGTAATAGACACGAGTTGAGTTTCAAACGTAACTTTAAACGTAGACATTTTTAATTTATTTAATTATACGCTCATTTTTTTAAAAATCTAATCTCATTCCATTGTTTTAGTTTCCCTTGTCAAATTTCGTTTGGCATTTTTTTTTAATATTCCTTGTTCCAACACAGCAGATGTTAAACCACGGTTTCGCTTCCGTTACCGGAAAGAGCCATTTTCGACAGACTAGAAAGACTTCGGCGTGGACTGCTACCCCCTAAAAAACTACTACTCGTTTCCGAAAAAATTTTCCTGAAACTAAAAACATCACATGCATAATAATCGTTTGTTCCAATTATCACTACACACCGGATGGAAAAAACTTTGGCTTACAATTTGCGTATTCCAGATTCTGAAGATTTCTTCCACGGCGCATCGTCCGGCTCGTACGGTAATGGTCCTTGCACAGGTGCATCAACATCCCCCTTCCTGGGTAAAATCATAAACATATTCATACAATGATTTCGCCGATCGTTAACGTATAGTATGTTTCACTCACGGCTCCGCCTTTGGACGATACATTTCCAGCTCATCCTCCAAATCCGACACCCTCGCTTTCAGCTCGTTTCTCTCGTGAAGAATTTCTTTGAGCTCGGCCGTGGTAAACCTCGGCCGATCCGGATCGTCGAGGTCGTACACGGCCTTGTTCGTCAAATCTGTGCACGGCTGATTCGACTTCGAGAGATCCTCGTTCTCCTTCCGCGCGAGCCCCAGTCTCGCGCGCAAGTTGATCAGCTCCCGGTTTTGATCCTGCAGTTGGGCCAAAAAGTCCGCCCTCTCCTCGACCAAGCCGCGCGCCTGCATCTGGGCTTGCCTCTGCTTTCGCTTCAGCTCCCTACCGACGACGGTCAACTTGTCCACTTGGTCCTTGAGCTGTTGACCAATCATCGAAAGCTCAAAACCTTTCATTTCTACGTCCCTTCGATACACCACTTACATTCTCCATTTCCGTGCCTTTGTGCGCGAGCTCCCTATCCCTCTGTCGTATTTGTTCCCTCTGCTTGTCAATCATTGTCCGTAGACGATGCAGCACCGCTATGTCAACTTCCTGACTCGTCGTGAATGCTGAAAGACGAATAAAAAAATTTTTTTTAAATTAACAACATCATCAACGACACTTGGCTCAGCAGCGTATTTTGTTTTTCAATTCTAAACAATTTGTTCGGCAACATTTTATACACACACACACACACACACACACACACACACACACACACACACACCGTCTATGTAGAAATGCGCTAGTACTTTGTTTACCGCTATCATCGCTCTCGCTCCGCGTTTCCTGCACCACAGCCGATAATCTCCTGTTTTCGTCCTGCAGCTTTGTTACCATATCCAACAAGTCGCGAGATTCCTGCCTCCAATGCTCCTCGATTTGTTCCAGCTCCTTTCATTCATGAAACGATTCAAAAATACGAAATATATCGAGTTACGCATTGCACGTTACTTTTCGTAAAAAACAAAAAAAAAAAAAAAAATCGCGGAAATGAAGGTAGCATTGTACATGAAATAAAAAATTCAGCAGAGTCACGTAACTTTTATTGGCTGATGTAAAATGTAACGGGACGGATGAATGTTTAAACGAGAAACAAAAGAAACTTACAGAGAAGTTTTATAACGAGGAGAAATAAACGTATGTATGTATACTTTTTCAAATCGTTGTCTGTCCTCGGCCTTGCCGATCTTGTCGCTCTCGAGCTGGGCCACCTTGGCTTGAAGCTCCTGCACGGTCGTGTTCTCCCTCTCGTTTTTGGTCGCCAGGTTTTCCAGGAGCTCAAGGGCGCTGATCACCTTGGGCATGAGATTGGCTATGGACTCGGCGCCGTACGAGTCTATGAGCTTCTCGCACTCCTTGCCGATCTCCGAGGCGATGTCGTAGACGTCGACAACCGAGAGCTCCGAGGCCTCGGTCAGCTCGGCTTCGTCCATACTGCCGGTGTTGTTGTCGCTACCCTGGTGGTACTGGCTACGCCGACGATGACTGGTGCCGCTGTTGTTTCTGGCGGGTCTTAGGTAGAGTGGCATTGGTGGCGGGCTTGGACCACCGTCGGCCTCCCCACGAGCTTCGAGAGACTGATGCTTCCTCCGCCCCGACAACGATCTCCGGAAGATCTCTCGGGATCTGCATCCAAGTAGCCCGTTGTGCGTGTATACACTTGTACGGGCAAAGATATGTGTATGTATTTTGCACCTGAGATATGTGTATCTATCGCTGCTGCAGTTACCGGTGCGAGTGTAAGTAAGTATCTTGCTTATCCCCTGGGTGTTAATTCAATTGACGTCTGTGCGCAGCAGCTGTCGAACTCGGCCGCATACTGGACCAGCCAGCGCGCAGGAGTAATAATATAGGTACATGTGTCCGTAGAAGCACTTTTTTATCCCAGGTATAGACGTCACCCTCCGCTCATGCTAAGTGTGCCTATGTTATTTTATCACCTCTGGCCTTAACTATTTCACCTACAAACCGTCTGATGACCAAGTCCTTTTTTTTTTTTTTTTTTTTGCACGATAACGGAGATTGAAGAAGACTCTAGTTTGTTATAATGTTATGCTCCGTTTTTATCCTGGCCAGTGGGTACAGGATATAATCCGCACGCTACTGTTAATTACGTACGCCCTGTGTGCGCCTACTTACGTATACACCGGATTGCATACTCATCGAGAGAGCGATGAATCACACGCGCGAAACGTCTCCTGTACACGTACACTTGGAATGTTATATATACTTTGCACTTGTACGCGATTTGAATTATTGTTGTTTATTTTAACCAGGTGTACAGGTTGGTTGTATTTATTCGTTGAATGAAATTGACGGTCGTGTTGTGTTTGACAAGACACCGCGGGTAAGGTAACAATGTATTAAAGTGTCCTCGGTAAGCACCGCATTCGTTCGTTTTAAGTGAGGGGATGTGCCTCCTTGCTCCGAAAATAATATTACGGAGCGGAGGCAAAGGGAGCCAGTTTGGCCCATACTTATGACTAGTGCCCGAACGTCCGACTCCAGCTGCGTTGGGCTGCACTACTAACTGCGTCTATAGTGTGTTTCAACACACCCACCCACGCTCTCGCTATGTGGTGGTGGTGTCGCTCGATAAAAACACCTTTGGCTACCTATATACGAAAGTCCTGATGTCTTGCGCAAAAATTGATCATTGCGGGAGAGAGAGAGAGAGAGAGAGAGAAACGGTGGAGGTATACACTGTAGGTGCGAGCGAGAGGAAATCGTGTATATAGGCCTATGGAGCGACGGTTTTCCGATAATATTTGCTGTAGGCTGTGTATAGTAGAGCAACACATGCGCGCCAGCTTCTTTTGGATTTTTTTTCTCTCTTCTCTGTTCTTCAGCTGGTGCGTTTTTTTGCGCTAACTTGTACCGATCTTGCGGGATTTAAATTAAATAATGTTTAGGATGTCGGCAGAATGGGATTTTTTTAATTGTTACATGAAAAACTTTCGTTTTAATTATTTATTCGTTCATTTAGTCACGCAAAGAGTTGGAATTTGCATTTTTTTCACTAACATTCAACATTTCGTCAAGGGTGGGTATATATTTATATGGCTTAATCGTCTCAGTTTTATATAAAAATCTGTACAAAAACTTACAAAATAACATTTATAAACGGCTATGAAACAAAATATTACGTCACACGTATTATTATTATTATTATTTTTTTTTTTTCTTTAAAATATATTGAAAATAGAAATATTTAATTCTTTGGTTTCTTTCTTTCTTTCTTTTTTTTTTTTTTTCTTTTTTTTTAATAATAGTCTCGAGTCGAAATAAATTTTGAAAACGACTATAAAATCATCTCTCTACAGCACAAAACACTTAACAATCGAAATAATGTCGGCGTGAGACTTCATTAAAATTTGTATGAATAAACAATTTTTTGATTTTTGTTTTTGTTTCGTCATTCAAAAGCACCGTCCACACTCACATTAGTACGTATATATATGGCAGTAAAAAGCGTATAGGTACAATGCAATATAAAATTGTCATGGCATATTCCTTCCTCAGTCTATGTACGGTTAACGCAACGAAACTTCGCTGATCGCCAAGTTTATCTAAAGCTCTTCTCTTCCATGCGATTCTTTCGGCAAGCTATGTAAAATCGAATTTTCGGTGTCACTGATGTAACCGCTGTCTCCGGTATAGTGAGTGGGAAACACAACCAGCGGCTCCACCGACAGGATAATCATTTTTCTGTCTTCAAAATGTTGCTTCCAGTCGTCCCTTTTCACAAGAATCCAAAAAATTACGCGCACGTCAATAAATTTTTAAAAGAATACAAATTTAAGTATCAATCCATTTCAATTATTCATTACCTTGGATGAACGTCAGACATGACGGGCAAATACTCGTCAACGGGAAGGAGATTTTCCAACGGTCGCGCGTTTATTAATTTTTTCGCGCCTTTGGCAGATATAAGGTAACCAACCGTCCAATAGCTGTACCCGGCATGAACCAAATAACGCGATTTTCCAACCCACTCTTCCGACTCTTTTTGCATACGCTTCCTCCCGAGATATCTGGATGTATGCGTAAAATTTATTCATAAATTAAATCAATATTTCCAAAAAAAAAATTTGTAATGTAAATAAAAAAAAAAACCTTACACAAGGTCCCAGTCTTTTTTATGCTCGTCAAGCTCTTGCAATAGAAATCTAATTTTTTGCCTGAAATATGGTTCGAACTTGACATCGTCTTCCAAAACAATGGCTTGCTTATGTCCATCCTCGACGATCTGCGTTTGATTGTTCATTAAAAAAAAGGGAATATTTTTATACTCATTTGTTTACGTGAATTTTACACGCTTACCCTGTTCCAAACGATGTAGTGGCTCAAAAAACATCCCACTTCTCCCATTGTCATTGACCTATTATTTTAAACGAAAATTACATAGATTGTAGCAAATTACAAGGTAAATATACCATCGATTTATAATCACCTGTCGTGATACGGATCTTTGTAACCAGGCATTGTTTTAACACCCCACGAGTTTAAAAGACTGTCGTTCAGGGTTCTGTAAAAGTACACAAAAGGTGGAGTTTGAACTAAAAACCATAAAAATTTATAATCCAGGTAAAGCATGTACCGTCCATCCACGGCGTCGATGATTTCCGCATTCACTCCTAGTTCCTCAAAACAGGATTGCATCCTTTGTCTACGTTCTGGTCTCCTCAAAAGGTTGATCATGTATACGTTATCAACGCCCAAGGTATCTTTTTTTGGATACTTAACAAAACGTCTCATGGACTTGGATATGGGTATTGATCTCTGATCATCTATTTGTATGAAACCCCATTATTATCTCGCGTATTTAAATGCGTTTGAAATGTTCAGTACACAAAGGATAAAAAATACCTGTGCCCAGCATTTCGAGTTTTATGTTGACAACTTGTTGGTGATCGTGTTCGATGGAGTCGTTACTTTCCAAGGGCACAGTAATAAATCCGTAATTCTCATCATTGCAAATGTGTAGATCAACATCTAAGTATCGCAAACATCAAAGTTATTGGTTGCTATAAATTAATGAGTGCTTTGAAAAAGCTGTGCATTATTATTACCAAAGTTTTTTGCACCAAGTGCAAACGCAATTATATCATCTCTGGGCCCATCATAATTGTATAAGTTATTGGAATCGTATGTCAAAAGATCACTAACTTTCATTCTGAGATCGATTAAAATTGCGCTGTGTACCATAGGAACGGGAAAACAACTGATGGTCTTTTTAAACAATATTGGCTCGTATTCATCCGTTCTTTTGTAATAATAATCATCTGTCATTCCAGCCCAAAAATTACTGTACATCCCCTCGGATTTTAATAGCGGGGCGACGACTGTTTTATTTTTTGATATCAATGAATCAAGTGTGTTTGGATTTGTCAGAAAGACATCTGCATCCAACATCTAAAATATAAAATCAAACAATTACAATTGAATCATCCAGAGATTTTTTTCATTCATTTTATGTAAAAAAAAAAAAAAAAAAAAAAAAAAACTTGCAAATATAAAGTCAGCCCATATTTTTCTGGCATAATTCAGCACTTCCTCCCTGAGTTTAATAACGTGTTCAAAACGAACGGGGCTCCAATCAGCAATGCCTTTCTCATCCTCAATACCGTGAGTTTTGTCATCCAATGTTGCATTGATTAAAAAATAATGGTCTCCCTGTTCCCTCAACCACGTTTTTAAAACATTTATTGTGTTGTCCACGTTATTATCACTTTGAATCCTGAGAACAATCAGTAGTGAACAATTTTTTTAACTCGTAATATGTTTCACCAAAAACACAGTAAAAAGTGTAAAATTTTTATTTGCTTACCACAAAGCAATTCGATCTTTAGGATAATCAAGTTTTTCTAAAAAACTCAGAGTGTAAGGTAGCGTGTGCGCCTTGTTTCTCACGAGAATTCCAATTAAAACACTTGGTTTTTTGTAAATTTCCGTGGAATGTGCATTTTTCGTAACGTTAATTAAAATTAAACAACAAACGAGTAGTACGTGGCACTTCATTTTCGAATACGACAAAGTTATCGCGCTATTCGTGTGCGTATTTCACGTAGTCAAATAAGTATTATCGACATTAAAAAAATTGTCTTCATTCACATTCGTTGCTCTCGAACAAAAAAGTATGGTTATAGAATCGTCTCTCATCGTATTATCAGCGATCCATGTAGGTATACCATCTCTCGCACGGATGGGAAATGCGTGGGCGTGATAAAACCATCCATATGTGGATGTGTACACGTATGTAACAAACTGAGGTACGGAGATTTACAGATTTGCGCGAGCATTCAAAAGTTGGATAAATTATACTTTTTAATCAAAGGATTTTGACACGAGTCAACATGATTATTTAAAAAATTTTTATTAAAATATAAAGTTTAACAAAATATATTTCATCACAAAAACATAACAAATCCGTGGATCCGCAATTTTACAAAAAATGTACATATTTACAGGGAAGAATCGTTTACTCATACAAATAGTTCAACTTTAACTTCAGAATCAGGTTTCGACTTCTTTTTTTGAGCATAACTTAGACTAGATCGATCAAATTCGAGTAGCATTATTCCTAAATCACCACTGTAACGATTTTTGGCCACCTAAAAAAAGTCGTCGATAAACAATTATTATAATGATTAGATAAATAATTTAAAAAAAAAATTTTTATGAATGTACTTGTAGGAATTTCTTTCCACGGGCGCTTGTTAATCTCTTGTCTTGGACAATAAAGACATTATCAGCCTCTTGGCTCGCCTTTGCTCCTCCAAAAATCGAAGCAGTTGTGAGATCTCCATCTTCTTTTTCTTTCCTGGGATGAATAACTAGAGAAACATGGCAATTGAATTTAGTGGCAAATGTTCTAAAGGCTGAGATGATTTTATCTTGTTTCCAAAATCTGTCCATGAATTTTGGTTCGTCCGACATCCCCATCATAAACTGCACGTTATCAATGATAACATGAGCAATGTCATGAACGTAAGTAGCATGCTCAACAGCCTAAAAAAAGTAATGAAAAAATAAATCATTACTCTTTTTTCTTAACAAATCAAAAAATATTTTTATATATCTCACCTCCATGACAACTTTGATACTTTGCTGGCCATGAAATGTCATGAAATAGATAGGCAGTTTCTCAAATTTATCTGCATAACTATCAAAATTTTCCAAATTTTCATCTAATGGCACACCAGCCATTTGTTGCAGCATAGTTTTGGCTAATCTAGCATTTCTTATCTCAAAACTTCCCCACAAAGTATTGACTCCCTGCATTGCAAGATCTAATGAATATTCACTCATAAAAGTAGTTTTTCCACAACCAGTTGGTCCTGTAAGTACTGTGAATTCTCCTCTTCTGAAGCCCTTTAAAATCTTATTTAATGCTGGATACCTTGTCCACTTCACTCCTTGCACTTTGTCTATATTTTGCAAATCACTTAAAACATCTTGCCTTAAACTTTGAAAAGTTGTAATACTTTGGTGCCAAATCGGTTGGGCATTCTGAATAATTTCTTTCAAGTCATATCCTAAATTTGCTGCAATTTTCGGCCTAGGTTGTTGATCTATTGGTCTTACAAAGTCGCACCTTTTTTCATCGAGCTTTTTTGCAAAGTGCCTTGCTGTATCCCAGCTTGGCTCATCATTTCCAAACCATAAAATCAATTTTTTATATATTTCTAAGCTTGGCAGTATTTGCTGTGGGATGTGTTGTAGCCCATAAGGAAGACATATTATTAAATTGGCAGCTTTTTCTGAAGCTACAGCTAAGAGATCTTCTATATTTGGAACAAGAACTGCTATTCCATCAGATTTTATATTCTTTTGTTTATAAATAATTATGCCAGCTGCGTTTGTTTCGGGAAAAGTTTTAATTAAACCAGATTTAACACATAAGGATTTATATCCTACAATCAAAGTACGAAATGCCAGTAGTGGAAAGTATAATGTTTCTGTTGACTCTTCATAAAGGATATTCATTTGAGACATGACCTCTTGAGATACGTGCTGTAACAACCAGTAATGACATTAGCAATAAATTTCAAATTTAAATGATAAAAAATACGAGTTTTGAATATATTACCTCTAAACCAAGTTTTTCAACAATATTTTGATATGCATCATTGGATAAATTATCTATTGAAATGGCAGTTTTCTTGATCCTTTTCCATTCATCACTGAAATCGGGTAATGTTTCCATTGATTTTTGAACAAGCAATAATTCCTCTTGATGTTTTTTCGTTTTTTTAGGCTGTAAAAAATTTTCCAGCCCAGTCCAAGGTCCTATCCTTTTGCAGTTTTCACAAATAAAAAAACCCGTCATCTTGTTGATATGTATTTTACAATCCTTTTTTCGATTTTTGTCTTGACACAGGTCAAAATTTGTCACTATACAAGCATATCCTTCCAAAATTTGACTATTTGCAGATTTAAGTATCTTTTTGATTTCTGCTAAATTTACCATAGGTATCTGTTCATTGTCGCTGTGATAACATCTCTCTTTCAAATGATACCTGGGATTCTTAATCGATAATAAAAATTCGGAAAATCGACTTTGTTTTTTAAATATTCTTGCTAACATTTTTATAAAAATCTTCATACAAATTTACAACGTGAATCTCTTTTAAATTACTTATTTTACATTACTTGACAATCCACTTATTCAATGCGTAAATATTTACTTCGCATTAGTTGCTCTCCGATCTCACGTTCAAAAACAATACGCGATTGTTATATATATAATATATATATATATATAAAAATATGCGTAACAATACATAACCTCTGTGTAGAGACACGGTGATTCTCACACTTTTTTATACAATTTAATGTATACCAAAAACTGTCCACAGAAAATACTTCACTTAGGATTTCATCACATATTTTATTCTATCGTTAAGGACACTTGCACAGCCAACTAAATGTTTAAAGTTAACTTTTTTAATATTTGTAAACACCCAACGCGCTCTTTGACGTGATCCATTTAAATTTTCTTGCACGCGCGGGCTTGGCGTATTGCTTAACTTACATATTGTAGCAAAAGAGAGAGAGAGAGAAGAGAGAGCAGAATTAGAGAGCGGGTGATGAATTTTGGAATCTGTAAAAGTGGGCTTTTCGACGTTAGCGCCATCCAAAGCCCTGTATTTACATTTTGTAGTGAACATTTGAAGCTTCCAGAGTAGGCTCTTGAGTTGAGTTTCCGTTGGCGCGATTTAAAATCGAAGTGACGAAGTCAGTTGATGGCTGTAGTCTCTCTTGCACGGACTTGTTCGGGAGAGAAAAGGTCCCTTGTTACTCGACGACATCGGTTTATTTTTGTAAAATTGTAAACTGGTAAAGTGTTGTGCGTTATCCTCTGTGTATATTGTTAAAGTTGCACCTGAGAGCATTGCGATGGAAATTCACCAGGATTTATATAAAAAAAATTCAGTGAAAGACATTTTTCATAAAAGGGAGGAGAGCTGGCGTAATCGTAAAGAACAACGGAGTTTGGCTTTTGATTTAAATAGGCAGGCTGCCTTTGAGGATGAGTGCAATGATATTGGTAATTATTATTATTACTATTTTTTACGGCAAATCTATCGACAATATGTGTTACGCTTGTTATTTTTAATTTGGTACCTCGATCTGAAAGGCCCATGACTTTCTTTCTCATCATGTTAAAGGCCCACAGGTACATCAATATTGTAGTGTTGTTGAAATGCTATGTTAGTTAAACAACGGTTACATTGATCAAAGATCTGGAGCTTTACAAAGGTGCTCGCGCTTGCTCAGACAAGAATACATACCTAAGTTCATTAGATTAGATAAGTCTATTTATTTTAATCTGCATTGTTATCTAGACTGGCACGCTATTTAGACTATGCGTCCATTGTTTTTTCATTACATTTTGATAATAGCTTCACACGTAAGTTATATGAATGAAAAGCAAATTGATATTGAATGAAACGACGATTGAACATGCGTGTTTACATACACATTTATATTGTTTTTGAATTTCTATCTTTGTCGATATAAACAAGTCCATGACTAATCGGTTATTCTTTTATTTATTATGGTCACAGTAACTAATGCGAAAAAATACTATTTACCGCATATAAATACCTGAATAGCGGTGTTATTCAGGTACTAATAATATACGGTCAAATTTATTAGATTCAATAGGATGTACTTATTGATTGAACTCGTAAATACGACATGTTTTTAAATTAATATTTTGAGGGGAAAAAAAAAAGCTATTTCATGGCGAAAAATGTATTTCAGATTTAAAACCTCCTACACCTATTACAAAACATATACTGAGAAAAAGGCCAAAGAAACCAAATGCACAGAGAAAAGCCAAAGAGATCTTACCATCGCAAAAACGTCCTTTTGTTGTTGGAGTCGTGAGGCACAGAATTCATTCACCTCCTTTTTTACACGGTCCATTGAGTTATGAAGACGGTAAAAACCAAGAGCTTCCCAAGGTACACCAATATTAAGTTTTAATTAATGATATCAATGAAAGTCTTCTAAAAATACTTTGAATGCTTTTTTAGTCTTTTGCTCCCAAAACTTATCAATTCCAATTTCGATGTTTAAAAAAAATTCATAAAAGCCCTATTAAGGAAATTGAAGGATCGCCATTCACGTTGAGAAATTTTTTATCTCAAAAGGTCTTTAGTCCAAAAATTCTGGCCAATTCAAATATCACTGTTAGATCCAGAAATCATCCTCCCACTAATAGTGGTCATTTGCATGACATCGGTAATCATGTCAAAAAAGGTGAATACATCGTAAACATATATTTAAATTGACCTCAAATATGCAATGTTTTCATTGAAAAAAAATTTTTTTATCCTAGGATTTGACAGAAAAAGTTGTGGAGCAACAAAAAAAGAATTGTTCTCTGATGACTCGTATGATGCAGATGAGCCACCTATTTTTGGTAAACAGATATTAAGTCCAGACATAGAAAAAAAAGAGAATTATTGCCAAGGTTACTATTTTTGAAACTTCTTTGGTGTTGCTAGTAAATTTGTAATACATGATTTTATTTCCAGATGATTGTGAAAAAGAAAACATTGCTCCTAATTCAGGGCAAAAAAGGAAAAGGTAAATTATAATTGTTTGATGTACTCTAGCTAGGTTGGTTCCAAATTGAAAAATTTAATTCTGAACCCCCTTTTTTTAGTTATATCCACTCAAGATATAAAAAAAATGATGAACGGAAGAATCTTAGCAGAATTGATACCATATCTTCTGACAGGAAAAAAAAAATTAGAAATGATTCCAATGATAAGGTACATTTAAAATTTTACCATACAGTAATTCAATTTTTATTACTTCATTTTATCTTTAGTATTTTACTTTATCATTAGTAGCGAAACAGTTGAGCATAAATTTTAGTTTCTAAGAATTTATTAGAAGAAGAAAAAAGTGATTGTGTTTATGACGATTTTTTCCTTTAGTGGCTACTAGTACTTAAGAACGAAAATATGGGCGACTTATATCAGATTAAGAAATTATTTCCTAGTATTAAAATATGTTATAAAGCCTACATTAATATATCATGATTTTTCAATACAATCAAATAACAATTTATCTTTTTACAATTAAAAGGTGGACTTTGAAAGTTGTAGTACTGCTAGTATAGCTAATAATCAATCTTGGACAAAAGGCTTGCAATCTTTGCACAATACAGAGTTGGAGAAATGTAAGGGTGATGATTACAACTGTAAAATTGTTAGCTGTTTCTACTCAGATGAAAACCCATCAAGTTTTGATGCAAATTATCCAGTTAGTAAAATATTAATTTTTAACCAGTGCTCTTTTTTTTTAAAGCTATTGTATCGTTGTAATTTTTTTTAGGATGATTTTATTGAGGACGAGACAGCCCCCTCTATTTTTTTCAACACTGTCCTTTTAAATAACACTAAAATTGATAGCGGTGTAACAGAATTAATTTTACAGACAAACGATAAAGAATCTGAAGAAAAAGTTATTTCCAGTGTTATTAATGAAGCTGTACAGCATGATTTTTTCAACTCATTGCTACAGCAAGCAAGTATTTTTTTTTATTTGCATGCATTATTCCCCCTTAAGTATAATATGTGTTTTAAAATTTGCTCCTTTGTTATAGCAGAAAGATATCTCAAACAGGCGTCGAACATTCATAATTAATACTGGAGAATATGCTGATAATTCAAGTTCTGATGATAATACAAAATTAAAAAACGTTTTTGAAGAAATTTCAAGAGATGAGTCGTCTGAGTCACCACGTATGCTGAATAGCAGAATTCAAGATATCCCTGATTTATTGGTATCAAATAAATTATTATCACCAATAGCAGAGTGTTTAGATAAAAATGTAATTTTTAATAAACTGTAGTTTTAATTTATGCATAGTGGTACATTTTTTTACTTTCTGCTTATTCTCAATTTAATTTATTCAGAATGAAAGCCTTAGTTCTCATAGTACTCCTGCAACAGATTCTTCAAACGAGTTTTATGATTCATTAAATAGTACTAAAATTGTAGAAAGTAGTACTTCAGAAGAAGGAAACTATTCAAGAATTCTTCAAAAATCTTTTATTTGTGATCAGAACAGTTCTTCCGTTAATCGGAGTCAAAACCATAGTAGTGACGGCCTTAAAGAGGAAATAAATAACAAGGTATGCTTTTGCAAACATATTCGTCATTGTTTTTTTATAACTGGAAATAATTGAGAAAAAATTTTGTACAGAGTTTGAAAGAGTCTGTGAACGGAAATGCAGTGAGTAAAATATTTTATGAAGAAACGGCTAAAGATTCACCAAACCGGTCAAGTTGTTCAGCAGAACATGTAAAATCAGAAGCGGACAAGCCTAATTCAATATCGAATGATTTATATACAACAATCGAAAATAGTAATTCTGAGCACACAATTCATACAGAAATCACCAAAAAATCTTTCATCGATGATCAATACAACTCTTCTGTTAATCTGAGTCAAAACCATACCAACAACGGAATCGAAGTGGAAATACGTAACGAGGTATGTTAAAAAAAAAACATTAGTGATTGTTTACTGCTTACGGCAATTAATTGAAAGAAATTTCTTAACAGAGCTTTATAGCGTCTCGCAACAATAATTCGTTAAGTAAGACGTTTGATGGAGAATCGGCTAAAGATTCATCAAACCATTCAAGATGCATAGCAGAAAATATAGAAACAGAGGAAGACAAACCTAATTTATTACATTTGTCAACAACAGAAAGTGGTGATTCTGAACGCACTAGTAGTACAGAAATGACGGAAAAATCTTTCATCGATGATCAATACAACTCTTCTGTTAATTTGAGTCAAAAACAAACCAACGATGACATTGAAGAGGAAATAAGTAACGAGGTATGTTTAAAAATAAATATTACAGATTGGTTACTGATTACGGCAATTAATTGAAAGAAATTTCTTAACAGAGCTTTATAGCGTCTCGCAACAATAATTCGTTAAGTAAGACGTTTGATGGAGAATCGGCTAAAGATTCATCAAACCATTCAAGATGCATAGCAGAAAATATAGAAACAGAGGAAGACAAACCTAATTTATTACATTTGTCAACAACAGAAAGTGGTGATTCTGAATGCACGAGCAGTACAGAAATCACCAAAAAATCTTTCATCAATGATCCACACAGCTATTCTGTTAATTTGAGTCAAAATCAAACCAACGATGACATTGAAGAGGAACTAAGTAACGAGGTATGTTTAAAAAAGAAAATATTACAGATTGTTTACTTATTACGGTAATTAATTGAGAGAAATTTCTTAACAGAGCTTAAAAGCGCCTCCATACGAAAATCTGTTGAGTAAGACATTTAATGGAGAATCGGCTAAAGAGTCACCAAACCGTTCAAGTTGCATGGCAAAAAATATAGAACCAGAGAAAGACAAGCCTAGTTCATCACCTTTATTAACAACAGAAAGTGGTGATTCTGAATGCACGAACAGTACAGAAATAACTGAAAAATCTTATATTAATAATCCACGCAGATCTTCTGTTAATTTAAATCAAAATCATACAAAAGATGACATCGAAGAGGAAACAAGTAACGAGGTACGTCTCTGAAAAAACATTTGTGGTTGTTAATTAATTATTGGAATTAAATTGGAGAAATTTTTTAACAGAGCTTCAAGGAGTCTCTAAACGAAAATTCGTTAAGTAAGACATTCGATAGAGAAATGGCTAAAGATTCACCAAATCGTTCAAGTAGCATGGCAGAAAATATAGAACAGAAAATTGACAAGTTGATTCAATCATTAACTGAACCCCAACTTACGGGTAATAATTCAACTGAATCGGTAATTCTATTTAATTTTTTATATCAATTGTCGTCCTTCGGATTTTTCATTGACTGTCTTTTTAGATTTCACTAGGAAATGAAAAAAAATTGCCGTCACAAGTTAATAATTCAGGATCTCTAAAAGAATTGAAAAATGTTGAGAAAACTGAAAGATTTTCTGAATCTATGATTGATTCTCCAGTGCACGGGAAATCAACAACTAAATCTATTTTATCTACAACCGAAGCAATAAATAATAAATCAAATTGTTTCGACGAAAACGAATCTGTAATTTTAGAAAACAGTATAAAACAAGAAGAAACGGTAAATAAAATTAAATCTATTAAAGAACTTGCTTCTTCTACTTGTTTGGAATCATTTAATATTATTTAACTAATCAAGTAATTAATTCGTTGCAATGATATTTGACGTGGTTTTAAAAATTTTGTGTCTAGACCACACAAGTGCTCTCCGAAATGTGTACTCCTGTCAAGAATGTTGAGATAATTGAGCTATCAGACTCTCCAATGTCGCAAGGAAGAACAAAAAAAGGTTCTACGCTTTCAAAGATACTCTTAAATAAAAATTTGATGAAAGTTTGTTCCACAACCGAGAAAGTCATTATGGCGCCAGCTATTGTAATCGATAAAGATGATGAGACAAGAAGTGAAATTAGATTTGACAAAATAAATCTTAAAAAATCAATTGCAGCTCAATCTGTACAGCGCAATCTCAATGACACTGTTGATTTAGTTTCAGATGAAGAGGATGAACAGGTATTTGGAAGCTTGTTCGATTTTTTATGAGATTAACCAATTGTATTATTTTATTGACTTTTTTTTTCGTGTAGACCGACCATATGACATTTTTATCCCGAGTTCTCGTTTCTCGCGGCTTATCAAAATTTGGATCTCCTAAGGCGGCTTCATCTCGAACTCCATTGGAAAGTAATCTGGTAATGTCAATATGAACAATACATTTGATGTTTTCTTAAAACTCGTTAAAAAACTAATGAAAATACAACAGGCCACCCAAGCTCATTCAAACAATAGTTTACGATCTAAATACGCTATGATAAACTCGCCCGTGAAGACTCCAGAGCAAAGTCCAGCGCGAATCTTTAATCTGCGAAATAGAAATGTCAGTGCAACACCTTCACCACAAAAAACTCCAAAGGTAAGAATTTAGTTTTAAAATTTGAGCATACCTAACAGTCTCAAAAATTGTATCTTCATTTCAAAGAAATCGATCGAAACATCAAGTAGATCTGCTTCAACGCCATTAAATGCGATAGAGAATTTACCAAAAAAAGACATTGCAAAAAAGTTGGTTGCTAGTCCTACCTTAAAAGTTGAAAATGAAACCACACCTGAAAAAAAACCTGATTTGATACTGACTGTTGCGTCCCCAAAATCATCAAGAATAAGCTCGATTGAAAACAAAATTACCAACATACACTCGCCTGCAGGAATTACAGATAAAAGTCCAGCTCGAATCTTAAATTTGCGAAGTAGAAACGTCAATGTAACACCTTCACCAAAAAAAACTCCTATGGTATACACAGTTTATAATTTACTTGAGCAGATTTAATTTATTATGAATGATCTAGAGAAATTTAATTTTTTTATTTTATAGAAATCGGTGTCAACTCCAAGTAAATCTTCTTTAATACAATCAAATACAACAGAGAACGTACCAAAGAACAACGTTGCGAAAAAATTAATTCCAAGCCCTAGATTAAAAATTGAAAATGAGATCACGCCCGGAAAAAAAATCGGTTTGAAAGTATATGTTGTCTCGCCAAAATCACCAAGCATAAAGTCAATTAAGAATAAAATAACCAACACAGACTCGCCTATCGAGATTTCCGAAAACAGCCCAGCTCGAGTCTTGAATTTGCGAAATAGAAATGTCAGCGTAACACCTTCACCAAAGAAAACTCCAATGGTAATTAATATATATAACTTATAATTTATTCGAGCAAACGTGATAAAAAAAATTTTAATTTGGGTTTACAGAAATCAATGGAAAAGCCTAGTAAATATGTTTTAACACCATCAAATACAATAGAGAACGTACCACGGAACAATATTGCGAAGAAGTTGATCGCAAGCCCTAGATTAAAACTTGAAAAACAGACTACACCCGGTAAAAAAAAAGTTTTAAAGCTAACTATTGCGTCTCCGAAATCACCAAGAATAAACTCGCTCGAAGAGTCACCATTAAAAAATACTGAAAGTCCTGTAAGAGTTTTAAGTCTGCGTAGCAGAAATGTTAGCGTCTCGCCTTCACCTAACAAGAGAACGCCGAGGGTACGTTAATTTTCACTCGTGAGTATACATATTAACACAATTTTTGTTTTTTGGCTATCAAAACGAGATGATTTTTTTTTTTATTGCAGCGATAAAATGCAAAAATTAAAAAATGATTCAACTGGAGTAACTTTACGATTTATTTGAACTTTGGTTTCTTTTAAAAAAAGAACTGGTGTCATAATTGTATTATTCGTCTATAAAATTATTTTTACACGCTGCACATATCGCCTTGCGATTGATAATTTTAAGAAAAAAAAAGTATATATGAATAATTTATTTTAAACTAATTGATTTTTAGCCGTCTGAAATAAATGTATTTTGTATAGAGTAAAATTTTATATTTGCAAATAAAAATAAAGTTCTTAAACACAGTACTCTATGTGATAAAAAAATTAATCAAACAAAAAACCCATTCATCAAGATTCCATGAAAAACGGATTTTCGAACGAAAGAACTGCTATGTCAAACGTTTATCGGTACAGCTGTATCCTTGAAATTTTCATTGCATTTTTTGTAGCTAGAAAAAAACTCATATACGGGCGACCTCGTCGAACAATAACGTCATTCCTATTGCAATTATAGATTTCATCCTGGCTTGCGTGCAGCAGATTTCTAATGCACCTCGTCAAGTTGAAAAAGGATGTTTTGAATAAACAAGATCGTTTGTACGACTCGATTTAAAACAGTTTTATTTTCTTAACAATGAATTCTTCTGTTATCACGAGAGAGTTGACCTAAAATAATGTAGACGATACTTCAATCGCTCGAAATTTTATCCTTGATCCAGTCGATGAACGAAAACACGCGGGTGTAGACGTCGGGCTTTCCAGCCGCGCAAGCTTCGACGGCAAACGACACGATACCCACTTGCACACCGTCCGCAACAAGAGGTCCGCCGGAGTCACCCTGAAAATGATTGTTGTACAAGTACTTGGTTTAAAAAAAGGAAGAAAAAAAAGTCTTACGAAGCAAGCGCCCTCCCCGGCCTTGTTTAGGGTGCAAATCTGGGAGTCATTGATCTTCTCGCCAGCCATTTCCGAGCATTCATCCTGGCCAATGACGTTCAGTTCGATTTCCTGCAGCGCAAAGGGCTTGGGACCTATGCTCTTTGGACAAATAAGAAAGATTTACACCAAGAACCGAGTAACCAAACGAAAAAAGAGGAGTGAACAATGTATTACCGTGATCCAGCCCCAACCGGTGAGGACGATCGGGCTGCCGGTTTTGTTGAACCCCTCGGTGGGGAGCTTGACGGGCTGGACTTTGTTCGTGAACTCGATGTCACGGGCGACGCGGATCAGGGCAATGTCGTTGGCGAGGTCGGACCTGCTCCAGTTTTTGTGCCAGATGACGCGGTCGGGCTGGTATATTTTCGATCTCTCGAAAACGATGCGCGAGTTGGAGCCGACTGCGATGACCATCGGTCTTTTTCTGCAATAATCGTTTTGTTTTTTGTTATGCATCGTGAGAAGAAAAATTATACGTTGATTTACCTGTCGACGCAGTGCGCTGCGGTCAGAATCCAACGTTTGTTAATAATAGAGCCGCCGCAAAAGTGGCCAAACCGATTTTGTAGCGACACCTGGTACGGGTACTTGCCTATCGGGGCATCTTTACCACCAACGATTTTCGGCGTTGCTGGAAATTACATGCAACTGTGCACTTGTCGATTTTTTTTTTTTTTTTTTATTTATGAAGTACAAAAAGTACGTATTTCTATTTTTAAGATTAACTTGTAAAAGCTTATTGTATATATAATTATCAACTGGCCAAACCTTGGAGCGTTTCTGTTGCGTAGAGGAAAAATACTATGATGGCAACGTACTGCATGGTAACACAAAAAATTAATACTGTAAAATAAACCTGAGCTTCCAAACTCTTTGACTGATTTGAACTTACCGAGTGACGGCATATTTATATTGAATGATTATCTATGAATCCTTGAAACATTTATTATTGACCTAAAAATATAGGGGTCAACCTTGTAAGCAACGAATCACCATGTTCATTAAGATTTAAATGTTTGTCCTTTACTTTTTATCATTTATCAAAGAATTATACTACATCTACTATTTTGTCATCAAAGAGTGATTGCAACTTTGAATATTACTACTTTACGCGTTGCAATTATAACAATTTGAAGTTGAACATAAAGATCGAATCAGCCAGAGAAGCAGGAGCTTAATTATTCACAATATTTGACGCTTGTGAGTATATTAAAATTAAATGTAAATTGGAAAAGGAGAAAGCATATATACAAGTGCAACATTTATTTTTAAAGACTTTTAAAAAAAAAAAAAACGTACAAAAATATAAAAACAGTTATTTACTTGAGTAATGATTTGAGTCGGCGCGCCAACGAATAACAGCAGCTATATATTGATTCGATCAGCTGTAGATTGCGGTGGTGTTTGTGCTATTGTGTATGTCGCAGGTCCGTAAATTTAGTGTCATATCAATCTAAACATTCCAAAAGAGTGTCAATTATTTGTTTTAACTCTATAATTAATGTAAAAAGGTAATAATTAACATATTTTATTGTTTTAATTGTGTATAGAGTATCTGTGTTCGTACCAAGTATGCAATAACGTTTGCAACAAGTAGAGTAAAGCTTGACAGTCACTTGCATTGCTGAATACTATGATACTGTTGAGCCGATCAAGTTTTTTGTAGTTAATTTTATGATACAGTTGTATACTAATCATTTACAAATGTGTTGCGAATTATTGCAATACCCTTTAAATTGCTTGTTGTTGCCATTACGTAATGGACATAACCTACACTCTTTAATGATTAATAAAGTCGTTTTTTCATTTATAATCGTGTTTTTCAGTTTGATGGGCTTAGAACTAGCAAGTAACTTGTGGAAGAGATATTCCTTGGTGGTCATAGTTCCATCATTTTTTTTTTACTGCATATACGCAGACTACTCTCGTACTCAGAGGTGGAAAGCTAGCTTGGCTTTAAAGAATCAAGAAGTCCAGTAAATATGAAGATCATAACGAAAGACATCAAAGTGATCAAGTCCCAATTTCGTAAAAATTATCTGTTGATGCTGATTCCCTTAGCTGGTATGTTTATTGGTCATCAACTAGATAAGATTGAAGACGAAAGAATGTCAAAGTTTAGAGACAAGACAGCTCTTTACAAACGAGATGTACCACCAGCAAAGCCATCATGGTAACCAAAGCCTATTCATAAGTCTTCTAACATCTCAAAAGACATGTTACCCATAGTTAATTTTATTTAATAAAAAAAAAAAAAANAAAAAAAAAAAAAAAAAAAAAATCAAAACATCAATGTATTTTTTTCTGTTTTGTTTTTTCAATTTATGCCTAAGATCAATTTGTATTGATGACGTGATTTTTTATTATCAAAATTAAAAAATGAAAAATTCGAGAAATTTAATTCAATAAGTATTTTTTTTATTAAACTACTTAGTAACTATATAAAATATACAGTGATTAATTCAGGATACAGTGGTAGGAACGATAATATAGTTGTCCTACAATCAACGAAATATGGAAAATCTTTTGTGATTATCGTCCTTCTTTTGTGCAATTTTAGACGATTTATTTAATTTTTTCGTCCCATCTAAATTTTCTTTATCATTTGCACTTTGAATCGTCGTACTTTTAGTTGCCATGTTATAAGCTTGTCTCTTCTTTTTCAACCAATCGTCCGTCTCCTCGCTCCAAGAAGCTGGCCTATCCTTAGACCTCATTCTCGACCTTATCGACCTGTTTATAGTATCCAAGTTCAAATAAGAGAACTTCCTATGATTGGTCAAGTCCTTTTTCTCCTGATCCCCTGCTGGTGGAGCAGTCACGTTTCCATCGATCAGACCATAATTAAAAAGCTTGGACTCCTGCTTCTGAGTCGCTATGATGTTCTCGCTGAGTTTCTTCAAAGCCTTCTCCTCCAGCATCCCGTTGGTCGAACCTTCCGAAAAATCGCTCTTCTCCGACAAACTTTTAACCGGCAGGGTAGAAACGGACTGCAGCTCCAGCCTCGGCCGTCTCTCGCTCGCAGACCTGGTGAAGGCCAAAGGTTTCTTAAAGATCACTGGATCAAATTTTTTCGAGGTCACGACAAACGACGAGTCTCCAAGGTCGGCGGACAAAGTCGAGTCCAGATCCTCGTACTTGATCTTCTGGCGCGGCCTCGATCGTGACCTCGTGCTGCCGATCCTGTGACTCATTCTACTGCCGTCCGTGACCAGCGAGCTTCTCGAGTTTGGAGCATTCCTCGTAACAATCGAAGGAGGAATTGGCTTACTATTGTCCCGATCCCTGCCGTCCAGCGAGTCTCTCGAGCTGGTCCTCGACGCCTGCAGCGAATTCGACGAGCCGGTCTCGGACTTGGGCCGGTGGTCCTTGTTGATGGGCTCAGGTAGCGACTGGGCCTCATTGGGATTGTCGTGGACAACGCTCTCCGCACTGAGAGCTTTTCTATGCCGTTTGGCGTACAGCTCCGCCTGCTTCATCTTGTCCTTGACCAGCCTCTCGAGTATCCTCAGCTCCTTTTCCTTCTTGAAGAGGAGCCTCTCGCGCGATTGCAGCGCTACTTCCTTGTCCTTGAGCAGCGTCTCCAGCTTCCTCAGCGCATCCAGCCTCTGCATCCAGTTTTCCTTGAATATTTCGTCGCTTATGTCCTCCGGGCGCTTGGCGCTCGGCAAACACCCGTTCTTCCGACCGTGGCAGCAGAGCTCGTCCTGCAGGTTCTCGTCCAGGCTTTCGATGCCCTCGCTGATGGAGTGCAGGCTGCTTGACCGCTTCGGCAGTTTTGGGGCAACTATACCGAAGCGCCGGTACTTTGAGCTGGCGAGCGTCCACCGGCTTTGAGGCACGTCGTAATTCTTGATGATGCTGTTGCTCCCTGAGCCGAAAACATTGTAATTCATCATCGAGCTGCCTACGAAGGGCTCGTCGTAGACGGGCTCCTCGATTTTGAGGTAAGCCTTCGCGTATTGGACGTTACGGGAAGGCCCTTCATTTTCCACCTCGGGCTTTTTTCCCTTGACCTCCGGGATTTTTATTTCGTCGTATATGTGCTCGTCGAGCTCGAAAAATACTCCAGACAGATCCGACGACTCGTCACCCGCAGCAACTTCTTCTTCTTCTTCTTCTTTTCCTGCGTCGACATCTGATTCTTCCGCTTTGCACGACTCTGCAGTTATCGGCTCGTCCTTGGAAACTTGGAAAACTTCGTCACCTGCTTCGGTGCTTTTTACATTGGATTCCTCGCAGATGGACTTTTCTTTAAATTTGATGGCGAGCTTTTCATCGTCGATTTGATTCGGCGAACTCGGACTCTGCACGTTCGTTGGTACTATAAAAGCCTCCACTCGGTATTTTTTCATTTTTTTTCCTTCGATCTTATTTTTTTATTTTTTTTTTTTTTTATGTCTAAATTGCACAAAATAAAAAATGTGTGATTGACATCTGAGTACAGGTGGCGCTAAAGATAAACGTATCCGTATATAGTAATCACCATCGAGATCACGGTCACATCATCATCACCTGCGTTCTGTCACTTTGCAAGCGTAGTAACTGCGGTTTGTTCATCAGTTTTAAGATTCCGTGTTTTTATTGTTATCGTCCAGCATCGCCGCACTTAACACCAAACAATATACACAATGACGATGACGATGAAAAAATAATCTTCATTTTTAAGTAGCTGTACTATAAAACCCGTAAGACGAAAATTAAACGGTCATATCGTCGTTCGCGACGTTCCACCTACTTTCCTGCGACGACAATATAAACGCATTTAAAGCCTATACACCGGTTGCAGGTGCGTGTATACAGATATACAGGACCGAGTACAACAATATTCTCACGGCGCATCTGTACATATATAGGTATACATACAGGTAACTCTCCTCGATTCAAAGGGGGACTACTCTCGGGGCATAAACTGTAACGGCCGGCGTGCCTCCACCGGACCCCGATGCTCTCTATCTCCGAGGGCCGTTGGGCTCGCTCCCTCTCCAACATATTAACATTATATACCTCTCATATACATATATATATATACGTGGGCAAAAAGCAGGTAGATGGAGAAATTTAAGTATTTGGGCCTTGGGGTCTCGCGCAGCGGGAACTCGGCCCTCTTACTTACACGTTCTTTTGCTTATTTGATGCCCACACAAGTATATGCGTATATACATATATATAACATGGGCCCTCGCTGAGCTAAGGCTTTTTTTTTTTTTTCTCCCTCGACACGCCAATAATGGGTGTGTATACGTGCGGTTTTGTTCTTTATAATGCGGGCTCCTGTTTTTCCGATTTGCGTCTTCTAAAGACTTTTCTTTTTTACCACGCGAAGGTATAAAATAAGAGGGGTTTTCATATGTATATTATGTATCAATTGTATTTTTATATATTCATACAATAATTGATAGACTTTTAATTTTAATTTGGATAATTTCATTGTAGCATAATCTATCTACGTGCACGCGATAAATGGTTATTTGTTTGAACCATGTCCCTTTTTTCCAACATCCGTTTTTATTCAGGTCTTTGATGCAAATGTGTCGCCATTGTTTTTTGTTAAAAAAGTCCCACTGCGGTGAATCGCCAAAAGCATAACAATTGTACCTATAGCTACTTCGTTTATTCTTTCAAAGTTAGGTGAACTTACGGACAAATTGAATTGATTACCGATAGTTTCGTGAAGAGCTTTGCATGAATTTCATCGTACGTTCGATCGTTGGAATATAATTACCGATTTATCGAAGCTAGGACACCGATTTTCATACCTATGAACTATTTTTTTCCCATATTTTCATATAAGTAAAACAGAGGGTTTTCTCTAATGGTGATTGGTCATTTTAATTATCCCTCACAGTATAGCAACAAACAACAGTGACTAAATTCACCTTCACGTTTTCCCCTACTCGGTGAATCTATTTCTGCCATTTAGCGAAGCTGATTAAAGTACCGTATTTCTTTTGAAAGAAATTCACGAAAAAAAATTATTAGGCTAGAGATTAATTAGCTCTCCTATATTTTGGAGTTCTGACGCCTGACAAATATAAAAAAATCAAAATTACTCTCAATCAGAGCTTTAGGAGGTCGATATTTGGGTAGAAGATAAATTGCGATCTTGCCGCAAATATCACAAACAACATCAAATTTATTTTATATCCGGAAGATTAGTATTAGTTGCTGGTTTATAATTGACTAAATGGCTCTAGAGCCTAAACTGCCTAAGGCTCTCGTTCAGAATTCTAGGGCCACTTTTTAGTTCAGAGTTCAGAAATCCGCAACGCTAGATGGCGCTGATACAAATAATTATTACAATTAGTTACAGTAGAGCCATATAATCAATTATAAACCAGCCGCAACTAATCGGATGGATATAACATAAAAAGATGATATTGTTTGTGCTGTTTGCGGCAAGTTTACAATTTATCTTTTACCAAAAAATTGACCTTCTATATATTTGTACTTTTGGAGGTGAATTTTCGAATAAACTTTCGTGCACTCGTACGTGTTTTTTTTGCACTCATACCTCATACTTGTTCTTGTGCGTGCTTATGCGTTTTTGTGCAGATGTCGTGACCGGACTTCCGTACCTATCCCTTTTTTTGCTCGAAAATGTAATTTTCCTTACACCTCCGCCGAAAGTTCCATCTGACCCGATTTTGAGCTAGAAAAAGCCTCATATGAGTCATATCAGTCCTGCCATATGTGCGCAGAACGAAGTGCGCAGATATATATAGTTATTTATTCAGCACCGAGAAGCAGCAGTAGTTATACAATACATATACATATATATGGCTAACGGAGTTATAACCTTTATAGTTTATACAACACAGAAAATCGTTGGATATTTATTTACATAAATTATTGGATGTATATATATATATATATATTTTTTTTTTGCACAATTTACATGTATATATAAATTTATTAATTTCATATGAACAGAGTACACAACACAAAATTAAAACTACCAAATTAATGTTTTTTGATCAGTTACTTTCACTTTAATGATTTATTTAGTATATAAATGTAGTATATACATGTCATATTACAAAAATAAACTATGAAATCTTTTATTTACTCGAATTATGCCTATCACAATTATAATAGTTATTGATAATAACCTGATTTATTTTGCACTTACGGATATAAACATTAGGATTTTTAAAATGATCTTTACAGGATCCATGATTCGAATTTAAACGGATTTCTCTTCCTCTCGTTTTGCCAGCACGACCAACCTGCACAAATCCTCGGCCCAATCTGATTCTATATTATATACTACAGTCTCGGCGAGCGTATATATATAGATGTACCTATACACATGAACACTCATCTACGTGCATTTAAGTGGTATTGTTCGAGCGACCGATCGATCAACAATAATGCATAATGCACTAAATCTTTGACTGGATCTTTAAACCTTCATTTTTAACAAAACTAAAACCGTGGTGACGAACTTTCGGCGGAGGTGTAAGGAAAAAAAGTATACGTACCACGGCCAAAAAGTGGGGCTACATCTGACCGCGCATTACCGGCCTCGCCTTCGGCTCGGCCGATAATATAGCGCGGTCAGTAATAGCCCCACTTTCTGGCCTAGGTACGTAATATACTATTACCATGTCTGCGCACATACTTACCTACGGCGATCGTCCCACTCGTCACGTCGTCAGTCGTCACGTCGTACGACATATATATCGTTAACATAAACATATATATGTGCATCTGTTGGAACGCCATTTTATTTTACCTCGTTTGTTACCTCAAATCTCTATACACTCGAATCAATACGGGACTAATAAATTAATAAGCTCTCCAAATTTCCAATCTCAAGGTCCTATACTTCAAATCTATAAATTCCTAGGGAGTCGATGAGAAAGAAACAACTAAAACACTATATAACAAGCAGGGCAGCACATCTCTCGGGACATTCGTCGTACAATTCCCAGGTTTACTCCATATAGGTACTTATATCGGGTTTACTTGGGTTGGGAGAGTGAACACGAAAAACTCTAAGCTTTTGACGGCTCTAGCTAGTGATAAAGATTTAAACATTCGAAATCGACTCCTGGCGCGTTCCATATAATTATTTAATAGTTGTTTTGCGTTGTCGTTTGTAAATCTCGTGTGTGTCCGTGTAAATGAAATAATCATCGGACATGGAAGTTGAGGTTGAGGAAAATGAGAAAATCCAGATGTCCGATGTCCACGACGTCGTCCGCATTGTCGAGGTGTCCAGCATTACCGAGGCCCACGTGCCTGTCAGGCTCACTCCGACCGGCAAAATAAGCCATGCCAAATCTCGTGTTTACACACAGCGTTATCGCAAAGAATGGGAAGATATGTCCGATTTCAAGGGTTAGTTTCATGCCTATTTATTTTTTATTCATCTTTTATTTCATTTCCAGTGGTACACATCATACTTAATTGATGTAAAAATAAAATAACGATTGATCTGCTTCAGATTGGCTGACATCAGTGCCTGATCAGCTAACCCGAGCTTATTGCAAATTTTGTGACAGAAACTTGCATGCACACAGGCTGTCGTTGCTAAAGCATATGTGTACTTTGAAGCATCAACGAGCTGCTGTTCAGTTTAATAAGGTAAAAAAAATACATGTGATACTTGAATTTAGCAATATTCTGGAATTTTCATTATTTTAACACTCTGCTGGTTACAGAGAGAAGGTCGTATGTCAAGTGTTGAGACAATAAAGCGAGAATATGCCACTTATGATGATTCCAATGATTACGAAGATGGAGAGATGTATGATGAAACACAAGAGGAAGAAGCCGAGGTATCCGGGGGAGAAATGGAAGAATCTGGTATCACCAGTGAGTCAGAAAGGGTGAGTCCAAGAAACTGATGGCTAATGCACACACGTTTTTTTAAGAAACAAAAAAAAATAATTACTCCTAATTAATAGGAAAAAGAAGCTAGTACGTCACAAGCTGTGATTAATGCTGATTCTGAAATTGAAGCAGACACCCATGAAGTTCAGTTACAAATGGTTGTTGATTCTGAAAATGATGGACATGACGAAGATGATGGAGATTACGAAAACAATGAACAATTTTATGAAGTTGAACAACAAAAGGACGTAAGTGACAATTCTCAATCGGTAAGTATGTGCAAGTCACTAATTAATACATTGTTTGCAAAAGAATTTATAAACACAAATGTTTAATTGTTCAACAGAATGAAGTAATACAAGAAGTTGTTAATAGCAACGAAAGGACAAAGGGTAATCCTGATTCTAAAAAGATGTACATTTTGGTAAAGGGTTCACTTATTTCTCCAAAATTAAGTCCAGTCGTAAGTAAAGCACAAGCCAGTAAAAAAATATGTGAAATAAACACTGTACCCACGACCAGTACTCCTAGAAAGACGTCTGTCACTGAAACAAATGATAGTGAAGAAGCTTTAAATAAGGTAAACTACACTTAAAAATAATTATACAAGCTATCTTCTCATTAATTAATACTTTGTATGTTCCATAGAATACTAATTTGAAAAAAGTAATTACTAAAACACTCAAAAGTTCTACGTTGAGTACACACGTTTTAGATACGTGCAAAGGGGTTCCTGTCAATGGGTTGCAAGTAATCCTCTACAGATTAAAGGATGGAAGATGGATCTTTGTTCATGAAAGGTAATGCATATTTTTACATTTTAAACAGTATATAAAACCTTAAAAAAATAGTACGGTCAAAGATACAATTTTTTTCAGTACTACAGCTGCTGATGGAATGTGCAATGATTTTTCAAAAATACTTTCTCCTGGACGTTATAAGTTCCACTACGACGTTGAAAAATACTACAATACGAGAAAAATTGGTACTATTTTTCCATTCATAGAAATAGTTTTTGATATCAAAGATCCTCAAAAAAAATATCACATCCCACTGATGCTCACTCCATACAGTTATAGTACATACCGAGATATATTAAGATAAAAGCTTTTTGTCGTAAAAACGATTCTTAGGCTCTTGATAAATATACGTAAATGTAAATATAGTTTGAAAACTGATACGGATAAGTAAGCAAGTAAAATTATGTACGTACTACTATTGCCTGCTGTGTTAAAAAACTGTTTTTCAAAATGCCACAGTATGTATCATATAATTCTTAGGATTAGTGGCATCATTAATATTATGTGTAGTGATTGTAAGTTGGCTAAACTTTACTTCAACGGTGTTAGGTCCAGCTCAAACTCAAGTAAAAAAAATAGCTTTTAACATGTATAGTGCTTAGTCAATTGAAAGATTTCTACTCAAAAGCTGTAATTAAAGAAAAAAAAAATAAATTAATTTTGATAGATCTATAAATAAGTTTGATATGGCTTAAAATATTGGCTAGCATATTGAACACAAATAAAAAATCTTTGAGCCTAATGTACAACTTAAACTGAACAAATAAATAAACGCGAATAAATTATAATATCCAAAGGTTTTTAACCTAATATTTTTTTTTTAACTGTCCAGATATATTGATTAGAATATTTGTTTACTATTTTTTCAGTAAAAATGATAAACTCTTATTTTTGAGTTGAGAAGTTCTGTAAAGCCAACCATGTAAAGTAAATTGTAGAAGTAATTATTTGTGTTAATAATGTTGAGCCTTACCTTGTGCCACTGCTATTAATTCTTAAGAAGTCGTAACGATTTGTTCGAGAAAATCGGAAAGTGTATTTGTAAATCATTTTTAAAAAAATTAATAAAATTTATTTTACATAATACGCAAGTGATAATTAATGCATATGAAAGATCACTACCACGCATACTGTAATAAACGGACCAAACGATTTTTGTACAATTTTTTCATATTGTAAAAGTGAGAAAAAAAAAAGATATCTGAAACATAAAACACTCTAAACTGAACGAGATCCATGATCGACAAAAAATCGGCACTCAGCTCGGGGGTAGGTACTGCCGATCTCCGCCGTCGGCACCACCTTTGCCACCTTTGACACCACCCCCACCAGCTCCAGCGCCTCCTGGCCCTCGTCCCGGGGACGGCTTTGCTCCACCGGCACCTCCACCCCCGCCAGCTCCTGCCGCCTTACCGATCGTGAAGCTAGCCTTGTTGCCGTTTTCGTCGGCCATGTACCTTGAAAAGAAAGAAAAGCAAAATAAAATCGAGAATATCTTCGAGTGCAGTGGGTACTCACTTGAACGAGACAGGCAAACCCTCGGGGCTCTGGTAGCCGTAGGTGCCCTCGACGACGCGCACCGTCTCACCGTCGACCTCCTTGAAGGAAACGCTCTCCTCGCGCTGGACGCCCTCCTCCTGGGGTGGTCCCGGGGCAGCGGGACCCGCGTTGGGCCGAGCCGCGCCACCACCTGGTAATCTGTTCACGTTGGCCGGGGGTGATCCTCCGGAGGGCAAGGGCAACGCCCGGCCGGCCGAGCTGCGCGCGTGAACTGGTGCCATTTGGTTAGCCGAGAGCTTGTCCGGGTGACCGTTTGTCCGCCCAGCGAGCAGGAGACACGCGAGCTTGCGACGATGCAGAAACAGTTTTTTCTTTCGTATATCACACGTGTGTAAAACATTTTGGGAACCCTAGCGCGTTTATTGTTACAATTTTAAAAAATTCGTCACGGCAATATACGGATGATCGGTAAGCGGCCGAACCACCGATCTATCCGTTTTTAACCATAAGCTTTAACGAACTGGATGAAATTTCAGGGGTAAAAGCCTGCCATATCAGGAAGTTAAATCTCCACACATGATGGACACTCGTGACGAAACCCGTTGCCGATTTTTATATGCAATATTTTTCAACACACTTGGATGTGCGCATGTACATTACAGACTTTCGAGGATACAAATGTATACAACGGACCCTGTCCTAGACCACAAAAACAACTAGGAGGAAGAAAAAAAAAAAAATACAATACCATAATTCCGTAGGACCGCATGCTTTTCACACCTCTGGCACTCGTAGTGAAAATTTTCGACGAAACAGCAACAAAACAGCGCACCAACGAGTGTGTATGTATTGTAATTATACAGTACACGCGTATAAATAATCAATAGATTCGGCACAATAAAAACAACAACAACAACGAGAGTCGTCGCATATTTCGATGTTTGCAAAAGTGAGGCTCGAGCCAGCGATCGGCGCTATCTGGGCGACAGGTCGTCCGCGCGCTTTTACTTATATACCTTGTACTTGCCTCGACGATCGCGGCCTCCCCCGTTTTCTTCTATATCACATACTCATCCCATGATTACATACGCGTCTGTTTGTGTGCAACTCAAAGGGACATCTTTCTCTCCTCTATAACTTTTTTTTAGACATATTTGTATACAGTATAGGAGAGGATCGGCAGATAGTCGGGTACATAATATATGTACATGCAGATATGCATCTAAGCTGCACCGATTGCTCCTCGCGTTACGAGTTTATTACCATTTTCGAGACACGATATTCGTCGTTCCATATATATATACACACTTTGTTGGCATCTCGTACACCGCTTTGTCCTCTCAGTCGGACAAAGCTGGTGCGTTGCGTAAACCGGCAATTAGCATTTCGCTACTGTTTTTCTTCCTCGCCGTCATCGTCCGACCAGTCGATATGTACACGCTCAAGGGCCCGCCCGGCGAATCGTTCGAATGCTTATCCATCCAATGGAAATTCTTTGAGACTCGCGAATCGGCCGTACAAGTTACCGATCTGCGGAGAACGAGAAAAGAAAACTTGCCACTTATACTCTCGTGCTTGCGTCAGCGCGGGTTTTTTTTTTTTTTTTTTCTTTCTTACACCTCTCTCGGGAAAGTCAAAGGTTCACCCATGCGGTTATACACTTATAGTCTTCAAATGGTGGGGAGGGAACGAAAAATTTCATGGGAGACAAACAATTAACGGTGTATGTATACAGCACAGTTTGCAAAACGATGATTCAACATAATAATAATATGTACCATCGGGAATAATATAATAAATAACACTTGCGCACCTCACGTGCATCCATACGTACTTTATTTATTTTCACATGGCAAAGGCTCGTCTCTCTCTCTCTCTCTCCATACAACACGTTAGGTGTGCTCTTATCGATGAGTTTTACACGGTTTTATAGCATCGACAGGGGGGTAAGAAAAAAAAAAAAAAAAAAAAAAAAAAAAAAAAAAAAAAAAAAAAAAAAAAAAANAAAAAAAAAAAAAAAAAAAAAAAAAAAAAAAAAAAAAAAAAAAAAACACAGGCAACAATTTATCTTTTCATTCCTTCGGGTCTAGATGTACGAGGCATCTCTCGAGATTATTTAACATCCCCGGGGAGACCCAACGTAACGCCGCATAACGTGCACACACCGCGGAACCTTGGCTCTTCGCGCTTGAAGAAAGAAAATGAAGATAACCCGTCAACTCTTCCCATTAGCCGAAGGATCTCTATCTCGGGCAATATTTATGCAAGTACAAACTCCCATGAACTGGACAGACATGAGATCCAAAGAAAACGCGAAATTTTGCCGTCGAGTCGCCGGTGTTACGTATAAGGTACTTAAGCGTTGCCGCACATGTGTACAACATCGGAAAAAGGACGAGGCGACGAGTGCGAGCTGTGATGGACATGAGTAGGTGTAGAGGATGTAGGGACAAATTTTCCAATATATTACACACAGGACAGTATATATATTATCGTCAGCCTATGACGGAGAGAAATAAAAGAGTAGCCGCGAGCGCGGGTTAATCGATGATGCCATCTCTCGACGATCATTGTCTACAGCTAAGACAAAGTCGTTCTATTTAATTTATTGTCTCTCTCTCTCTCTCTCTCACTCTCTCCTTTTTCTGTACACCGGAGTTATATACCTATATACGTATAGTCATACAGGTAGATGCCAGCTTCGGTAGCCGACCTCTGATGCATACGTACCTGTACCCGCATTACCGAGATTTATGAGCCTCGTAATTCGTAATTGTCATTTATGTGTATACGTTTTATATTGTACGTTTACATGAACATTACATCTACAAGTATACGGAGAAGAGGAGCAGCACGACAAAGGGCACCTTCGGTAGTTATACGAGAACAATTTTTTTTTTTAAGACAAGTATACGCATGTCCTTGGATAAACGTGTTTTTTCATCTTTCATCACTCGCCTGAATATAATATAATATGAAGGAATTTCCTCGCGTGCAATGACAATAATTTGGAATTTGGTGCTTTCAGTACCACTGCGTTACAAGTGAACCAATGGTTTTAATAATTTTCGCTCGGGGAGTGGGATATATGTCAAACTCTAATTTTAATCACGTGCAGGCGCTCCTCGTTGTGCTGGGTGACTTTTCTTTAATTGGGACTCGCCGCATCTCGACAAAACCGCGCCGCGAGAGGATTTATGGCTGCCGCTCTGACAACACAATGCTGCCGTAACTCAAAAAATATACTTTTTTTCACAAAGAAATTTTCTCTTTGCCCCTCCCCACCCCTCTCGTGATTACTCGACGAGTTTTCTTTCTTTTTATTCTGATTTTCAACATTGTCATCGTTGTTTGTCTATTCTGTTTTCATATAGGCACTGGTAATATACATATACCTGCATGTATATTGTTCGAAAAATTGACATCTCTATCATCGCACCCTCGTAAAGTGTGCACACGTAGGTATCACACTTGTGCTTACTCAGTCTCTTATTTTATTTTAGCGTTGCCACTATCAATTTTAAATGGCAATATATCACTTTGTTTTTTTTTTTCTTCCCCTTCCAAATACTTAGCTACCCGCACACCAATGTGGTCTTTCAATGGAAATTCCAAGCTGCGTCTCTCTTTCCCTAATGGCATCAACTTTTCAAATTAAAATAAACGCGTCTGTGCAATATTATCCAACGACATTTTTGGCCATTGCCATTTCATGCAATTTTCCCTTGCAATTATAAAAGGCTTCTCACACTTGATTGCGCAACGGTGAGTGAGCGCGAGTTATCTTAAACAAGTTCTTTCAAAGGAAAGTCTTTCCATGTACAATAAAATATACTCGGGTATAAATTATCAGTCAATGTCCATGCTCTTAGCTTACCAAATCGCGATGGAGGCTGGCGAAAATTTTTCCGACCCACCAACTGCGTCATCGTCGGCCGAAGGCTTCGTGACTGCTGGCACAGAACAAGTGCATTTTCAGCACTGGCATCCGCGTACATACGACGACGATCCCATGGTCGGGTACGTACGGCACGGGTACAGCTTCTGATACTTACCTCGCCTCGCGAACTTTTTTTTTTTCCCTGCCCCAACACGGTTCGCGGAGCTCGTGACTTTTACCTACTCGACTCGATGTTTGCTTTTTCTCGGGGGCCTTGTCGCGGCTGTCGTGCCAGCGGGTGCGAGCCAATTTAATACTTGCACTTTGATCGCTTCCCATTGTGCAGAGAAGCTCCTCCCGTTGCGCTTTACATTCTTTTAACACTTTTTTTTTTTCTCTCCATCTCGTTTAGTCTTCTTGGAATCGAGTGAAGAGAGTTTCTTTCTTTTTTTTCCATGGTGCTTGTAATCGTATTCAATTATTTATGGTACTCTTGGTGAGGATGTAACTGAGAATCAAAGATCGATCATCATTGGTGTCGTTGTTGATGGAGATTTTCTTTTCTTTTTTTTTTTTCGAATCTGTAATGGATAAACAATTTCAATGTTCTGAACAATAGGACGATTGTTTTCCCATGAAAAATTCAATCCTACATATTGTGTGCCATTTTGCACAAAGGCACTTTGTCGATGCAGTTTTGCAATTGACGGAGAACTGGAACTTTTGGACGAAAAATGAAAAGAAGTTAGCCAACTCGCGGGATTTCAAGGAAAAGGTGTCAATTATGCTTGGACGTACAGGAAAAGTGATCAAGAATAATCAAGAGCGTGAAAAGCAATGATTTTTTAACAAGACATTTAATATTCGTTTAATATCCGTAAGCTCAGCAGAATCAACAGTTGCGTGGGACAGATGTTACAATAGGTTTTACTTTTAAATTTGTCTCTCTTTTATTTTATTTTATTTATTTATTTATTTTTTTTGCTTTTTTTTATTTCGTTTTCTTTTTAATAATAATAGTAATAATAATAATAATAATAATGTCGGACTTTTTTTTTCACTTACAATTCTAAAATAGTAAATGGTCATCTATGTAATAATCTCCCAATCGACGCCGCTCTCGTTTTCACTTCGTTCATTTTCTTTTGTTTTCGTCCGACAGATGAACAGTTTATATATATATATTTGTTTCTTTCATTATATAATTACACGTTCCACATACACATGCCATCTTCTCACGCATAACGTTCGCTCCTCGTTTCCTCTCGCTGACTCTCTTGTGTGTACATATATTATATTATAAACCTCGCCATTTCACGCGTACTACAATTTACATCGTCCACAAAACACTACAGGCGTGTAATCGTCATTATCATGTATAAGTTACGCGGAAAATTGATTCAAGGCAAAGAGAGGATAAAGGACCGACAAAGGGGGATGGTTGATTTTATAATTATTATTATGCTTCGGTAAAAAATTCTTTGATTTGTTGAAACACTGCTCGCTAAAAAAAGTTCGGAATCGTCGTTCCTCTACTTTTGAGATCCCTCTACCGTACGCACGTAATAATTATTTGTTTATTTATATATTTATATCCTCCGAGAGATCCTAGCGCGGCTTCTCTGGCTCGGCGTGAGATTTTTCTGCTTAAAAATCATGCGAATCCAATGTACATTTTTAAAAAAAAAAGGCCTCGTCTAATTAACCCGCTACTCAAAAAAAAAAAAAAAAAAAAAAAAAAAAAAAAAAAAAAAATCCATCGAACTGTACGTGTACGTAGTAATATAATGCAAGGTAAAAACAGACGGCAGTCCCTACAGTCTCTCACGAGCCACATTTAACACACGGCAATTCGATTACTCATTTATTAAATTTAACTTTTTTTGTTCATAATATCACTGTGTGATTCAATGTATTAGTATACAATATAGTTATAAACGAAGGAATTTTCATTTCGGACAATATTCATCATGTAGTTTCTTGTCTTTTTTGGACCTTTGCTATAAATGTCGTGTCTACGCGCGTACACGACTTTTTAACGACGGTGTTAGATTTTAGACCAATAAAACCTCGACTATACATATATAAAAAAAAAGCAGGCTCGCGTGTGTAAACATGTAAAAAGCGCGTATAGGCAATATCCGTAGTTTTATATACAAAGGTATGCATTTATCATGTTTATGTACTAATAATGACCGAGTTCTCAACGGGGATGAGAATAATATCTTACACCCACGTGTATGTGTATACCAATGCCAGTCTATGCACGCGTACTCTTTACTTATCAAATGAGACCTGTGCGTGAATTTTCTCAGTTAAGAGAAATCCCGACCAGGAAAATACAGCTGCATCGCGTGGAAAAAAGTCTATACTCGAGCCACACGTCGCGAGAAAACTGCACACACGAAATCTCGACTCTATTGTAATCTTTCTCCGTTTATCGTCAACTGGTGATGGAATTTGAAAAAATCGGGAAAACTGGAGAGCGCCTCGACGCGTCGATCGAAAATCGAGTCACTATGTGACATCTCTTACCGAAATCATATAGAAAACAACGAGGAAACGTACGCTCGCACCTGGGGCCTCTCCTCGACAAGAATACCATTGGCAAAAAAAAAAAATAGTTTTAAAAACATCGAGCGAAGGGCAAGTTATACAGAGACGGTTTTCAAATTACAATAAATAAAAACTTTTGCGTCATGTCTAAAACAGCTTGCATGATTGGTCGAAGGGTTAAAAAAAAAGCTGTCTACATACGTATTATGTATAAATTATGACATTCTTACAACTGTAATTTGTGCACAAGCAGCAATTGAATAGCGCAGTCTAGGTTGTTTTTTTTTCTTTTAGTAATATTTTATTAANGGTGTAACGTGACGCAACACATCCATTTGTCCATACCGTATGCAGGTGGACACCCCGAGGTGTTTGTATATAACTAAAGGTATATACTTTAGAAGTATATTCTTATCTGTTTTTGTTATAGATTATCTGTCAAAGGCCTCGGCACACCATAAAAATTATTTTAAAAAATGGCAAAGCGAAGTCATCACCGTACTGATTACGGCGAGTCAAACTCAATATCCACCTCGTACGGTTGCTATGACATTCGCACACAGAGATATGGGAGCCTTTGGATTCACGTATATATTAATATTATTATTTACAAAAATTCATCATTTCGCTGGCAAAAAGTGTCGCAGAGTAATATTCCGGCAAAAGTTTATTAGTCGCGAAATGATTGCTCCTTCTCGCACCTTTTCGTTCGCGCATTCCCTCGAAACCTTTTATTCGCTCGTTCAAAATTTTTCGTTTTATGTTTGTATTCTTCTATTTTACTTCCGTTTTCCATCTCATCGCTCGAAATGCTCGTAATGCCTCGGAAGAGAGAAAGAGAAAGAGAAATGAAAAGCCATTTGCGTTATTTCGACTTAACGAGCAGTGATTTTTAGTTTCGTTTATCTTTTTAGTCACGTAATCGTGTAGTAACGACACAATAGTAAAAGCACTTAAATTAAGCTATCATAGACATAGCTACATTATTTATCATCTGTATTTACTGTATCTACAATATATTTTCAATAGATTTTTTGCGTTTTAGTGCACGAACGAGCGACAGCGTCGTAGTGCTGCCACCCCGGCCGTATCATCATCATCATCATATCATAACTTTCTGCTCACGGACTCGAACACGAATAACATCGTCTCTTGTTCCTCCCATCACTGCAATAATATTCACACGGTCGTCTCTCGGGTGCTTAAACACACGCGCGTGTACGGGCGTGATCATCAAAATCTTCGTGATTTCGTCGCGCAACCAAAAATGCACGCGCGCAGAGCGGAGACGATACTTTTGTCGCGTGCTTCTCCCGCGGGCCTCTATGACGAGAAGAAAAAGAAGAATAGTTGTGAGGCGTCGGCAGTTAAATAACATCAACAACCGGGCGGTAACAGCAGCTCCGTTACTGGACCACGCAGCACTTGCACTTGGGCTTCTTCTTGAGGGTGACGTGTTCAACCTGCGAAGCGTCGCCCGGGCCCTGCGCCGTCACTCGGCTCACCTCCACTGTCGCCGTACTCTGCAACAAAACCAATCGACAACCCATAAGAGACATGTATGTTTGGACAACTCAACAAGTTAGCATCACTTTTTATTTATTAAAAAAACAACAACCGATTTTTCATACCGATCAACCGCGGTAATTGTTATTTTCAAATATCAAAACAAAAAAAAACAAAAAACAAAAAAAACATCATAAATAAATAAACAAGATTAACCTTTTCGTTGACAGGTTGCTGCTGTTGATTGCCAGAGGTGGGCTTGATGGGCGTGCTGTGGGCGTTGCCGTTGCTCGCGTTCCCGGTACCGCGGACATTGTTCCCCACCTCGTGGAGCAACGGACTCGTGCTCGAGTCGAGTTCCGCCGATTTTCTCTCGTAACCGGGCAACGCCGGGGCATTTTGACCCGGCGTCGGTGTGATCGGCTTGCCGCCTTTTATCAGCTCGACTATCTCGTCCGCTTCTCGCGACAAGTCGCCGTCGGGCCTGAACGGGTTGTCCCAGCCGCTGTCTGTGCTGAAATTTGACAAAGCAAACGGGACACGTGAGAAGATGTTTGGAATTTCCTTTTTTTTTTTTTTTTTTTTTTCCTTTTTTTTTTGTCCATACAATCAAGATACTTTTTCTCCACATAGATTGCGTCGAGAGACATTCGTGTAACGACCACAATAATGATCGAGGAAGGAAGAGCAGCGATCGATAATTGATCGGTAATGAATAGGACGATTACGCGTGCGGGTAAGCGAGTACTGTATGTAACAATAAAACGATGAACATCACGGCACTCCCCCATGTATCAACATTGACTTTTGCCAACTGATGTTGGTCCATGTATGTATATGTTGTACCTATACAAGCGATTTGTTGCTGACGGTGAATTGGTTATTTTAGAACATTACACCTTGTCAAAGACCCGTACAAGGCCACTGGTTCTACATGGACAGGTTTTTTTTTTTTTTTTTTTTTTTTTTTCTTACGGAAATAGACGAAAAAAAGATATTCACGCTGAAATAGGTTTGGCAAAAATCTCTACCGAGTTTGCGGCCGTACTAATAGTTGTTTACATAAACTATTGTTGACGAAGAAAAGGAAAAATACCGCTCTATATATAGACACACTCGTGCGCACACGTCAAGTTTTGGGTTTTTTTTTACCGTTTTGTTTTCGAGCGAGAAAAAAAACAACACTCGCATCGGAAAAACAAGTGTGTGCAAACGGATGACGCCATCCACGCAGCGTGTAAAATATATTAGGGGACGAAACAACGACGCGGTGTTCCGATGTAGGTATACGAGCCGAGGCCGATCGCCGTTAATGACCGAATTGAACCAACTCAAAGAACCGAGGCTTCAACAAAGGGGCTCTCTTTTTTTTTTTCCTCTCCTCTTTTACTACGATTGCGTACACTCGTTTGGAATTTTCACGCATACTACACTTGACAGAGTAGAGTCTTAAGAAATCCAAAAAAATCGTTTAGCCAAATTCAGCGATTCAGTGAAGATTTCTAACGTCACATGGTGTACAAGAGCCATTTACCAGGTATGCAAAAATAACACACTCTCAATGCACACAATGCCGCGCAGTAGGAGAAACACTTTGCCACGCAATATTGCGACTTCGTATACCTCATACTACGAAGCGTTGGTTTCATTACGTCAGTCGCTGTTTTTAGTTTTTTATTACTAGACGAGCACTCGCCATATAGGTGTAACGTGACGCAACACATCCATTTGTCCATACCGTATGCAGGTGGACACCCCGAGGTGTTTGTATATAACTAAAGGTATATACTTTAGAAGTATATTCTTATCTGTTTTTGTTATAGATTATCTGTCAAAGGCCTCGGCACACCATAAAAATTATTTTAAAAAATGGCAAAGCGAAGTCATCACCGTACTGATTACGGCGAGTCAAACTCAATATCCACCTCGTACGGTTGCTATGACATTCGCACACAGAGATATGGGAGCCTTTGGATTCACGTATATATTACCGACGTGCACAGGCAACTAGTGTGATTTCCGAAACAATTCGACTTGATCAAGTACGTACACGGAAAGAGGAAATGGGCAGTCGGAGAGCGAACGCCCCTATATATAGTCCCCGGAAATTCGTTTCGTGTGCACATATGAATTTGTCAAATCCCAACGAACGGAGCAGCGAGAATTTTCTCCTCGAACCCTTTCGCCGCTCTGTACATGTATACGATACACGTATAACTGATGAAAGTGCCAAACAATGAAACTATATACGGGAGAAGCAAAGGACGAAAAACAAGAGTCCGCGTAAGACGGCCGTTTGGCCCTCGGCCAGCGAAAGCGCATTTTGCACAGGGGTAGGGTGACGATGAAATTTTTAAAATACAGCAACTCAAGGTGTTAACGCATAAGGGAGCGTCTCCAAACGAAAAAGGAGGAGAAGAAGCCAAGATGAGCTGTTTGAAAGCGCGAGAGCTTGCAACAATTTTTTGTTTACGAGAACGCGCACTCGCCTTCTTTGTGTGTTGTTGTTACCCTTTTTTTTTTTCTTTCCATACGCTTCTTTGTTTTGGCTCAAAATTCTCACCTCCAAGTGGCCCAAGGTCAATGTCGCGTATACTTGGTTTCGTCTCCTCCGTTTTCTCGATTTCTCCTCCTATCTCAAGAGTAAAAGGTCGCGCGCGCGAAAGCTCGACATGACTGCTCGTAGGTGATTGGTACGTATATTTATACTTAATGCATGACGAGGAGAGGGGGGGGGGAGGGAAAAAAATGTTCTCTCTCAGACTCGATAACGGAGGTACATATTTATAGATCGACGGCTGCAATGGCGCCGGACCGTCGTTTTATATCGCTGGTCGTCGGGGAGGAGAGCTTTTTCTCAGAAGAGGCGATTACACGCGAAAAGAGAAGAGGGAGGAAAGCTATATACTACTCACCGGGGTTTTATAGTCTCTCGGTATACGTATATATATATACACCTACAACACGCCATGCATATACACACGATAGTTAGGGCAAAGCCTATAGAGCTTTTCAACCCCTTAGTCTTAGTCTCTTGGCTGCTATAATATATACATATACGTATGTAAAGATACTTCACTTTTGCAAAATTACCGGAACAATGAGAATCGAATTTCAAACGAATATATATCGTAACTTTTGATCGTCGACGCTCGTAGAATTTTCGCGCAAGCTCTCGATACCCCCTTTCGGTAATCACCATATCTCACGCAGTTTCGTACAAAGGGGAGCGAAACAAAAAATTATTCCTCCAGAGGCGACTCCCCTGTGCCACAGCTCTCGAGACGAGTATTTAGTGGCGTGCGTCAGGCGTTGCTTGTGTGTGTGTGTGTGTGTGTGTGTGTGTCTTTTCTGTTTTGATTGGCCGATTAGAGCGGATTAGCCCGGACGCCCGCGTGTACTCGAGCTTCTGCTTCTTCTCTCCTCGTTCGAGGCCGTCTGGTATTTTTATTTTCGTTACGCGTCCGACACAGATTCAACGGGGCATCCCGAACAAATGCACCACCCCCTCACGAGTATATACATGTGCGGCACATACGCGTAAAGATTAACGAGTCAACCGTCTTTACTGCTCTCAATCTCGTTACTCGGATGCATCGTAGCGCAATAAGTTTTCATCCCTCCCTCGGGAAATTTAATCCTTTGCACCCCAAACCCCCTCCCCCCCTGTCATATATACAAAAGAGCATGGCTTAGGCTTTTCCTCTGAAAGCTCGCGGTGCCGTGATTTTTCGACCGACTGGTGGTGTAGTTGTATACGGCAGAGAAAGCGCGAACTCTCCGCCGAAACGGATGATTATTTATAGCCTCGCGTCTCTACCCCCCCCCCCCATCTCGGGCAGAGCGCACGTATTTTTACGCCACGTGCTATATACCCTTCACTGCCGTGCACATACCTTTGTATATAGGTGTATTCGTTCGTTTTCTTTGTCGGTGCAAATGCCATTGTTTGCTATTATGTATAGGTTGCTAAGTTTATAAATTGCTCTCGAGGGTGTACGTGGGTGCGGAATCGGCCGGCCCTATACTGTATAAACTTTACGTATGGTAGAACACACGCGTAATATAGGTGGGCTGTATATTATGCATACAGGTACCACTGATCTGTCGGGCATCGAGAGGCAAAATATATATTAAACCGAGGTGGAAAAAGAGAGCTTTCGGAACGCGGGGTGGGTCCCTGTGAGTACGCGACGACTATGAAGGTTTCTAATTGTTTCCGCATACCATAAGTCAGATGGTCGTTTAATTTTTTCTTTTCCCCCCATTATAATATAGGGTGACACTTTGCCCGTGCACACTCTGTGCGAACAACAAATCTGTTGTACATATACTAGTGAGTTTTTCTTTTGTTTTTTCCATCACAGGTGTGTGGTGTTTGTCGTAGAAGCTCGTGTGCCTGTATATGACGGATTTAAAGAACAATGCGGAGCAAATTTAGGACAATGGCCTGGGAAAGAAAGAAGGAAAGGGATACGTGAAAAAAAAAAAAAAAAAAGGAAGAAACTTTGCGGCGCATGTACCTGTATCATATACAATGCTTCTGGACCACGAAAGGTGTGTAATGTGTATCGTTTGCCATAACATGTGAAACGCAAAGCTTTTACGTGTACTGAGGAAGAACATGTTTGTACGATCACCAAAACCACTCGAGTACTCATGGATAAAACACGCGGCATCGGTACAGTCAAGAGAGAGATAAAAAAAAAAAAAAAAGGAACATCAACGCGCACAGAGAGAGAGTGCGTAAGTACTTGGATTAGCGAGGGGCAGGGTAAACGGGGTCAATTTTCTTCATTTAAAATTCCAGGGCGTCCCATTTGTATTCAAAACAGCCGCGCGTGCAAGAGTGGGCGTTTAAAATTAACGACGATCATCAACGATGTAAATAAGTACACACACCATAGACCATACAAATATGCGCGCGGTGTCTCCCTGTATATAATTCCGTGTACGGTATTATACATTGATCCAGTTAAAATGAAAAAAAAAAAAAACGGTATCGAGTAGTGTATGTACTTCGTTCGTTGACAAATAAAAAAAAAAAAGCTACCTTGTATCGAGGTTGTCCCCGTCTTCGGCCTCTTTGGGCACTTTGATCACGTAGTAGACGTGACCGCCGTGACTCGTCGACATCTTCTTCCGATTGTTTCCTCCACCTCCTATACCCGCCCAAACTCCTTTTTATCAACGACAGCGTCCTGTGCCGTACGCATCAGAGGCCGTGAGTATTATGCGCATTTTCCTACGATTGTGCACCACCACTCGTTAGCCGCTGCGATTTCCGGATCATCGTCACTCTGGTGCACACGCGAGAGGGCGGGTGGAAGAAAAAACAAAAAAAATTCTTTTCGCTCGAGATGAACCAACTCGCTCGCGCACTACCGCTTCTTCCCCAACTTGGTCGCCTCCACGTGGTTTATTTCGGTCGCCGGATTCTTTAGCCCGGCGCGTGTGTTTTTCTCCTCACTGCCAAGTAAGAATGTACGCTATAGTCGCGTTACATTATTGTCC